TTTCATTCGGTGAAACTTTACATTGAGTAATGCTATTTAGACCTATTTTCCAAGCCGGGGATTATAGCCGAAGGGGTTTTTATCCATTTGATAAAGTGGATGGGTCTAGTGTTAATCTCATTCATTCCATTAAAGGGATAAAAAAACCCCTTCAGTTACACAACACGGCTTGGGAAATCAGTTAGAATATTGTGATGTCCATCACTTTTTCAATTTTTTTGGGCATTTCTCATTTTGGCATAAGTGATTATTTCATTACCTCGGGTTACGTGCCATGCTTGTGATTGCATGTCACAAAGGTTTAACAATGATCTGGAATGTTTTGTTGAGTTCGGGATGCATCGATATGCTTCGGGAATCATTTAAACAGTTTTTGGATTTTTGGGCCGAGCGACTCGTGTGGGTCCCACGTCGGGATTTTTGGATTTTGGAATTATTTTCTTAATTGAAAAGTAAATTATCTTGGATGTCATTTGTTTTATTCATGAGGGTGGAATGGTCATTTGAGGTTGTAATGGCATTTTGGTATTTAAGTGAAGAGGTGGGGACATTTTGATCATTTATCATTGTCACATATTTGACTCATGGTGGGCTTGACACATGGACACAACATGACATTCATTTAGCTTACCTCGTATGACTCATTTATGCAGAATTAGGCTGTGCATGGCTTCTGTAATTTTCATTCCACCTTCGTCCATCATTATCCTCCATTATAGGACATTGTTTTAAGCCCAAAATTAAGAGCTTTGTGGGGGTGAATTTGAGGTTGCCATGTGAATGAAAAGTGAGCTAGAGAGAGTGAGCTTTCCATTGGTGTATTGGGTGTGTCCATTCCTTCATCACAGCATTTCAGAAGTTGGTTGAAAAGGGAGGAGTATCATTGATAGCAAATGAGTGTTTGTTCTTCATTTTGGTGATTTGATCCATCCATGTGGTAGCTTGGAGGTGTTTGTTCCAAGGGTTTGAACTCCCTTGAGATAGGATTGTCTAACCTTCAATTCATTTGCCTTTAGTAAGTTAATCTCTTTCAAATTAAGTTGTAAAGTGTATAAAAAATTAAACTGAAGCATGTTGAAACTGTTTGGTTGAAATTACACGCTACTGTTTTACTTAAATTTATGTAAATTCGTAATTTATCATTTAGAGATGATTTGATATTATGATAATATAATTAATTAGCTTTCATTGAGAATTAGCTTCACATAAATTGGTTGAGAAATGAATTTATTATGACATTTTGAAATTAGAGTGTTCTTGCTGGAAATTCTGGATTGGGGCAGATTCTGTCCTAGTCTTTCTCATCAAACCTGCTTTAAATGGTAAGGTATTTTGGTGAATTAAAATTTTATCTTGAAAAATATAGTCTTTAAACTTTCAATGGCCTTTAGATTCACTTAATTTGGATGAGAATTGGGATTTTTATGATTTTTCAAAGATGGAAGCTACAGGCTGAAAATCAGTTTCTGGGCAGATTTTATTTCCAAATTTTGGGTCAAAACTGTTCCAATTGGGAAGGGATTTTGTTAAACTAAATTGACACTTTCAAAGTACATTGTTTAAGCTTTCATTAGGCTTTGGAATCACTCAATTTGACTTAGAATTGAAATTGTTATGAATTTTCAAAGATAGAGGTAACAAACTGCGTATGAATTGTTAACAACTAGTAGGGGTTGTTTTAACTCTCACACCCTTTGTTTCCTTGTGAATTAAATCATTTAAATTAAACCATTATATGACTTAAATTAGGCTTTCTTTACAAGCATGTTGTGTAATTAAAATCTGAAATTTTGTAACTTAGACATAAATGATGTGTTATGTGTTTTAAATATGGAATTTGAGCTCTTAAAATGTTGTTGATGTTTATGTGCCTAAAAACTTTAATTCTAGTAATCACAATGGTTGTATTATTATTGTTTGACAAGCTGGAAATTATATATTTAGTTCACTTCAATTATGAGCTTTTTTGTTATAAGTTTGGTGTTATAATAGTGTTAAAAAACTGAATAATACATTGTCCTTGAAACATGCTGCCATGATAAATTTGCTACCAAAGTGTGCCCATAGAATTTCTATATATTTTCTATGTCTAATATAACTTCTATGTCGTATAGATTAGATGACAACATGCTTGTGTTGATTTCTTGAAGGCTGTGATAGTATGTCATTGTGAAACTTGCTGCCATGATAAATTTGTTACCGAAGTATGTTTATAGAATTAGATTTTGATGTGAGTAATGATGTGGTATTATAATATTGTGAAGCATGTGTCAATCATGCATTACATTGGGAAGTAATGGGATAAAACTGATTTGTTAAGGAGGAGTTTTGACCAGAAAGCAAACTGAATTTTTTTTGGGAAATATTTTGTGAAAAAGATTTTGTGAAGACCCGGACGCCAAGGGGGTACCAAGGGTCCGTGGTGTTAATGTAGGTTAGAGAGAATTAGGGAGATTGTCCTAGCGTAGTTGATCCAACTGGGCCCAAATGACGCTGCGGGGTTACCAAGGGTCATGGACAGTGGCCAATCCTTCTCTCGTGTCGCCAAGGGGGTACCGAGGGACGAGTTACGTTAACGATTTGAAAAGTAAAGTTTTTTTTTTTTGAAATGAATTGGAAAAATGGGGAGCGACATCGCATGACATTGCACACATTGCATGGCATATCTATTCATGACTTGATTTATAAATGTGATATTGTGGTTATTTTTCTCCCAGCATAGCATAGGACCAACTAAGAGATCGATTGGAAAGAATGTGGTAATTATGGAATAATAGAGATAGATATTCTCAGTTTGTGTTTATGATTAGACATGAGTGGTTATCCTTTTGTCTAGGTGCTGTAAATCATTAATACTAAAGGGTTCCTTAGGTATTAATAAAGGGATAGTCTTTTCACGGTACAGGGGCATACTTTTAGACTGATGGTTGTGATAATGAGAAATGTGATTCTTTGTATAGAATGTTGTAATAAGGGAAATGGTTTAGACTCTGTGTATATGGCACTTCATATTCTTATGTGTTGATTGTTTTGTGAGACAGCATAATGATGTGATGATTATTTTCCCCTTGACTTGTATAACCCCCTTTCTGCTTCATATTCTTTGTTTGGATTCATGGAGGTATTAAGGAGTGGTGGTTAGGCATTTCCTGCTGAGCTGTGGTTGCTCATTCCTATTATATATATAGTTTTTTCAGGTTATGGACAAAAGGTCATAGAGGGAATTCCTCCATAGTCATGGATAGATGTTGGATTCTATTTGGTTATATATCTTTGTATAAATGGGAAATGTATATTTTGAGACCAACATGTAGGGTTGTAACTCGGGCTGGGCCAGCCAGAATTTACCCGAGCCCAGCCCGAAATTTTTAGGGCTTGGGCAGTGTTTTTTTTGTTCTAGGTCTGGGCTTGGGCTAGATAATCTGAGCCCGAATTAATTTCGGGCTGGGCTTGGATTGATATTATATAAAGTCTAAAGTCCAACCCGAGCCCGGAAAGGGTATATTTATTTTAAAACTATGTTATTTCACAAGTGTATAATGGCTTAGTTGGTAGTGTGTTTGGGATTTTTCTTGGAGGAATGTTGTTTGAGTCCTTGTAGTTGCACAAATTTCTTATTTTTTACATTCTAAATACAGAGACGTGGGCTCATGGGCGGGCTTGGGCAGGGGAAGTTAATTGTGGACACGGCTTGGGTGGCTGGAATTGGGCTTTAGGCGGGCTCGGACTGGGCTTGGGCAAAAGATTTTGTACATGGGCCGAGTCCGAATTAAGTCTCCAACCCGCCCAACCCGCCCGAGTTACAGCCCTACCAACATGTATATTTGTAAATATTCTTCCAAACAGATTTTGTTTAATTATTGTAATTAAAGGATTATGGGGTTTTACGTATAAAACCCACTTTTATATTTTTAGATAATGTGTGGACAGGGAAATGGACTTTGTGTGTGCATGTTGAGACATGGTACTTTATTTAACATGACTTTTAAAACAATGGATTTTCTTATTATCAGCCTTGAGTATTAAATTTTTATCTAAAATTTTTGGACAGTGTTCCAGGGCTCGGTTAGACATTACAGTCTAGGGTCGGTCGTGACAAATATAATATTTATTCTTGTGAGTGGGTTTACATCTCCTCCTTCATTGGGATAAGCCCACATGGATGAGTGGTCTGGGGACCAAGTGTTTTGCTATGATGCTCGTGTTTTCTTGGTGCTCTCCCCCCGATTATGCAAAATAACAAATTTAATTTTCTGTTGTGGTGGAAGCTTTTTGTTTAAATTCCCACTTCTTGTGGACAGTTTAAATGCGCCGATGGCGTTCTTAAACCCCTTCAATTAGCAGGAGTTGCTCACGCAGTTGATTACAAATTTACATGTATAGGCTTTTGATGTTCCAATGCTTGAAGCCAATTTATCCATTATGTGAAACTTCCTTGTACTATTTCCTTTCCAGAGTTATCTTTGATTTGTTGTGCAAAACTGGCTGTACTCTCTTTAGTTAAGGTTATTTGGTGGGTTTTCTTTGAACTAAATTTCTTCTAATATTAATTCCAATATACTAATTCTAGATGCTTGAGGGTATTGTCTCAGTGGTGAACGGCCGTTTTTTGCCATCCCTCATGTATGTTGTAGATAGAGGTTTTTTGCCATCCCTCGTGTTGTAGATAGAGGTAATATTGCCATCCCTCATTTATGTTGTAGATAGAGGTTTTTTGCCATCCCTCGTGTTGTAGATAGAGGTAATATTGCGTATATCAAACCTTTCTTAGACTCCGCAGTGGCGGGAGATCTATACATTAGGTTAGCCTTTATGCTATCTCAGATTTTGTTATTTATGATGAGTTTTGAGTCTCCCTCTGATGTTCAATAGATTCATAAAAATTGTACTGGTGTCTCTTTTGGTTAATGAAATCTAGGTTTTATCTAATATATATATATATATATATATATATATATATATATATATATAAAATACATCCTATTTTGTAATTTCTGCAAGAGAAGTGCCAAAAAATTTCCAAAATCTATAACAAAAATACAATGAGATATTATATGCTGATCATTTTGTGGCTTTTTGGATCGCTAGCAAAAGCCTAAACTGTAGAAAAATAAAAGAGAGAAGAAAAGAAGAACAAGGAGGAGGAGGAATCACGAGGCACAAATACTCTGATTAGAGGACAACAACATTATTACACTGTTTCAATCTCTGAACTCGGACTCTGCATTACGCTTTCATCTTTCGATTCATCTCCATATTCGGATCTTGTGTCCTGAAATTGGGAAAACAGACCATTCAATTAATTTGAATTTGCCAAAGTCTTAACAAATCAACATAAATTTGTTCAATTTTAGATAAATTGAACATTAAAAGTAGACTGATTGAATTCAGAAAGGTCCTCTTACCTGTGATCGGTCGTCCCTAATCTTCCTTTCATGGTCCTTCTCTCTCAGAGATCGAATTGAAGATGTCCTCTAATTCAAATATTTGCCAAAAAGTTGAGTGAAAATTAAATCAACACGAGATAGAATAAAATAAAAAAAATAATATATTACCTCCGTTTGGCTGCTAAGAAAACGTGGGGAAAATGAAGCAAACGAATTAAATTAATTAATTTTTAAAAAAAGGACGACCTAGTAAAGCTGAATTTTGGTTGAAGTGCAAAATTTTGTTATATTTTATTGCAAAATTACGTAGTTAAGCTGAATCTTGTTTCAAGTTTAAAATTATGAGATATTTTCTTACATTTTCTCACTAGTCAAACAGAGTTAATCAAAGTGTAATTCATCATACCATGCATGAAGTTTTGAGTTCCTTCAACCGGAACAATCTATCGACCTCGATTTCAAGCTGCTGCTGCATTTCCCCTCTCTTCTCCAGTTCCTTCATATTCATCTCCAGCATCAAATCCCTTTCTTTCAGCATCTTCTCTGTCTTCTCCTTATCAAACCTCAACCGCTCCAACTTCTCGCGAATTGCGCTGAGCTCCTCCGCAAGTGACGTATCGAACGATGAAATCTTGGTAGGAGGATGATTCTCTTTGTTAGAATCGCTAATCAGAGAGATTTCTATCCACTCTGGCTTTGGCTTGGGCTTAACATGGTTGCCGATTGGATTGGCTGGAAAATTCTTAGGTTGGAGTGGTTTCCGGCCAGATTTGGGCCTTTGGATCTGATTTCCGGCGAGTGGCGATTGAATTTTTAACATTTCTGGTTGCTATTGGGCTGAGAGCCTGAGAGAGAGAAAACGAGAAAGAGATGGGTGGGGTTTGAATTTGAAAGGCAGAGGCGCTTAACGGCTACTATTTATAATAATGTTTTTGTTCGGCAGAAAAGCACATAAAATATTATTTTAAGTCACGAAGAGGCACTTAAACCCTAGATTCTCCCATCATGATGAAACAGTAAATTACTTTAAAGTCCCTAGTTCCAAATGGAACATGTTTCTTTCCAAGAAGTCTCATCAAATTATTACTGTAAAAACACTCAAAAGTTGATTACATGACAGCCAATAATCTAACGTTATATGTTTTTTGAAGTTTGAATCAAAATAGGGCCACTCGAAATTTTTTTCTCAATGATTATCTTGCGCATGTGTCCTCCATACTCTAAGACACAACCATCCCTCCAAACTCTAAGATAATATTTAGAATTAGATTTAGAATTGGTAAATGTTTAGAAAGAAAAGACTTGGGAGAGTGTATTTTCTTGGAATTGATCTAAGTAGGAATTATTTACATAGTATTATATCTAGAGGAGGGTTGAGAAGAGCCTGGATCCTCTGCTGTGTATAGCATTGTCTTATGTAATTTTTTAACTCAAGTAAATTCGTTTTCAATAAATCTGTTGAAAAACAAAATTAATGTGCTAAAAAATCACTGTGGGGGTTTTCAACTCAATTAAATCTACCTATTTTAGACATATTTAATGTGTTGAAAATCAAAATTAATGCGCCAAAAAACCAGTGTATTAAATAACAAAATAAATGTGTTGAAAGGCGAAGTAAATTCCATACAGTTTGTTGTGCCAGAATTCAGAGCCGTACAGGATGATCTGACATTTGCTTCCATGATATCTGTTGCCCCTTGCTTGTATTGTAAAAAATTGGCAGATGACCATTTTCTTGATCACCGAAGATAAGAGGATTCTAATTTTCCAGGGACTCCATTGATGTAGTTCTGGACTATTTTTATTGACAAATTACTGTACCACTACATCAGAGGATCCAAGGCTTGAGAAATATACAAATACAATATGAAAGGGAATTGAGAAAGAAAAAAATAAAAATCATGCGTGGATGTATATACACGGGAGGAAACATGAAATCCAAACAGATCATAAATAGTCCATAGGAAGCTCCCAATCATCCTCGGTTTCTCTCCTCTTTGGGCGAAATTTTTGCCTAGTGAAGCTTCTCCGCCTGCTCCGCCCATGGTCAGAAGGGGCAGATTGTCTTTCAAAGTCATAATATTCTCCAAACTTGTCTTTGGAGTTCCGCACATTCTGGGCATCCCAAAAACCCTGGAAATAACAATTAGGAGTGTTTACTATTGACATAGATCCAACAGAAAAGCTAGCAGGCAATTTTCAGTTGAAATTTAGCTTTCGAAAATTACTAAAATTTCATATCATTATTATCAGCTTTGCTGTCTGCTAGGAATAATACAGAATTCACCAACTAAAACAACCAAATGGTAACCTAGTTTTGAATGCCTGAAACATTGTGCTTCCATGTGCAAGTGTGTTCGGTATGTGCATATTTGCAGGTTTGATCGTGAGAGACTTTGAATAAGACACCAGTTGGTGTGCCTGAATGCATAGTTCTTTACACATGTTCTGTCGTGGTCCACCACATGCAATCATGTATGCGTGGAAAACCAAGATCATTTACCATTTAAAGAGGTAATCACATTTAAAATCCGACTACAAACCAGTACTGATAGATTTACAATGCACACAAAAATACCTTAGTTAGCCTCTGTATGCGTGAGGCTGCAGCTTCATGCACTACAACAGTGTCTGATACAACTTCCAGTATGTCCTCAACAAACAAAGCATAGGTGCTAACCTGAAATTATAAGAAACAAATTGCCTCTAGAATTCAAAAAGGACCTTCCTTTAATGACCAGCATTGCAAACTTTCCATTATATTATTAGCAAATGAGTGAAAGATCATCCATTTACCAAACTTGATGGAATGATGGATATTCCAAACGAGTCAAGCTCAAGTGATTCTACACCACCCGAGTTAATGTTAAAAGTGTATCCTCGCACCTATAATATAATATAAGATTTCAATGATAAGATTGTTGTGGAAAATATATAATTTGAATGTTTCAATCAATGTGAAAATGTAGATGCATCAAACATAGACATACCTTTCCAATATTTTGTCGATTTGGTGTTACAACATTGTATCCTACCTAACAAAAAGTAATAATTAAACACTCAAAAATTCAAAATCAATAATAAACAATAGCAGACAAGCAAACCAGGCAATATTATACAATTAAACAAGGTGGCAAAATCTTGTTTCAAATACTAGGGACTGGATCCACAATATCCTTCTTTGCCATTGAATGACTTATTGGTCATATTAACTGCCATACCATAGTATCACAAATTTTCAGAGTCATGGTTTTGAAGTTGCTTGGAAAAAAAAAAAAAAAAACAAAGATCAATTAGAAGTTTTGCACCAGCAAACTATTAAATGCAACTCTTCTCTTCTCTAGGACTTGCCAAACAAACTTTAAATCTATCAAATGCAACTCTTCTCTTCTCTACGGGCTTGACAAACAAACTTTAAATAGGAAAAAATATATTGAAATTGGTATGCCCATTCAACCCGATACATCTTTTATACATGAGGCTCTCCCTGATTTCATGTCAAGAAAAATGAGAGATCGTCTCTCAGTATATTCATCAAATTTTAGTACATTCAAAAATTTAGTAATGCAATCTTATAAGCTACCAGCACAGGACAAAACTCTTCTACACGAAAAAAGCACTATAAATTTTAAAGCAGACGCATTTCTTCATTTGCAATTTGCATAAAAGTATATCATTTAGCAAACAACCAGAAACAGAACATTCATATCCTGCGAGTGCAATTTCATAAGATAGCTGTTAGGAAATTAGGAACCCAATATGATGGCAAACATTAGATCAACAAGAGGGCAGCATATAGCATGAATATAGTAGCATAAGACACCCTATATAAGATGAGCAACAACAGTTTGTGGCGACTGGTGAGCAAGCAAGGGACTACCAACTCTGCAGACCATGATAAATTAGATAATTATAACTGACAGGTGGATCATGACCTGGAAACCAGGGGATCTCTCATGCATGAACTGCCTGAATAACCACCCCACAAAACCCCCATATCACCCCCCACAAAAACGAACACCATATACACACACCACCTCAACTGTCCTTAATTGCATTTATTTAACAAGATTTTGGAACTGAAAATAATCAAACATACCAAGGTTTCCAGTCCAACCATTTTAAACTCATTTTCCATCACACACTCATCCTGGATGAGCACAACATCTCCAACCTGCGAAGAATAACAAATTGATTACTTGATGAAATTGAATTATGTTTAGCATAATATTAGAATAAACTGGTAAAAATTGGGTTACAGTTCCAGAAGCCACTAATACAATGCAAATACGCCTAGGAAGAGGGGACACAGTCTGACAAGTGACAACTACAGATGGTAAAAATTTCTATATATGATTAAAGGCAAACCAAAATTTATCTGCACCAGAATAATAGAATACCGTAATGTTGGTCAAAATAGAGAGGAATTTCAGCGAAAACAGTAGTATATGTGACCACGATGTCTAATTACATTAAGAGGTCAATGAAGATAACATCATACCAGCAGTATTAATTGTTTATCTATAAATTAATCACAAATGTAACTAAATATACAGGTAAGAGGTCAAAAGTCTGGACTGAAACTAGCCCTCAAAAAAAAAAAAAAAAAAAGGTGGCAGATTAACCATAACACTTGCCCTCCCAATCTTTTATACAGAAAGATAAAGAACTCTGACGGTTACATGATGGCATTCTACATAATAAAGGAATGCAAGATAAGATTTGTATGCTTTTACGTCTTGATGAGTGTGAGAGTTCGTCAATAGAATAAAACAACCAGCGCATTATACTGTATTTCCAGATTATTCCCATTAACGGCACCGCATTTGGAGGATCATGTGAAACAAGTGCCAGTCAGAAGTTTATCAAACTAGGTCATGCAAATTTCACAGTAATTAATACATCAAGTGTGTGTATCTATCTGTAAACATTTTTTTTACGACTATATCAATCTGTAAACATATATATATTTTGAGAGAGCGAGAGTAAATAAAGCACACTATCTACCTGGCTAACATCATCTAGAAGAAATTTTTCTAGTTCCCCAGAAAGCAAGTGTGGCCTCACCTCTACAACCAGTACCACCCACTGCAAGACAGATGGGAAAACAAAAAAAGATAAGCTATCACTGCCACCACTTCTTCAAGCTTAAAACATACCAATAACATAATGTAGAACAATATTATCAGAATTGCAAACCAGCAGTTAAAGTTGCCATAATAAAGTTGTAAACTTCACAGCTACATAGGTGGTGCCTAACTTTGTGTTAAGAATGCCAGAATCTTAAGGATAATTGGTTGATCTTTAAACAATATCACTACCACCAGAATATAATTAAACATGGCAAAAATGACAAGAAGAAAACATGTGCTAATTTCATTCCAATGAAGTGTGTATTGCACTTAATATTTGAAAGATGTATATGCATATGGTGAATGATGAAGGGTTAGTATTAACTTCATTCTCATTTTCCACCTATAGGCTATAAGCCATTCAAGGTTATGTAAATTCATCAGGTCTACAGTAAAGTTGTGTCTTTTTCCCCCCATAAAGTACAAATGATTCACAGATCTTTTATACACTAATGTCATGTGATATATCACTTTGAAGATTGATAACTACTGTGAGTGATAAAGCACAAATTTTAGCTCCGGTGTCATTTACAACCCATTGGTCATTATTCAATCTAAATTCTGTAAGTTCAGTGATTTACTGCAACTTAATTGTTCCCTCTTTTTTCCTAGAAAGTAGGAACCTCACATACAGATATTTACATACAATCATGTTACCACAAAGAACAATGAAAATAAAAACCTAATGGTTTCCCTAGGTTCAAAGCATTCATTTATCTCAGTTGAAACTATAAAATTCATATGAAAATGAGCATATTTCACTCACAGAGTTGGTGTCCACCCAAAGTTGCGAAACAAAACCCAAGCAGAGAGCAGATTGTACACTGATCACTTGCTTTGCAATCATGTTCGACCTCCTCATCAATTGTCTTCCGCTCCTGGAAACCCAATCTTCATTGCGCCTCTCCGATTCCTCCAACTTCGAATTTACACCATCAGAACCTTCAATCTTTACCAAATCCTCGTCCTTCAAACTTCTCTTACTCTTCACCCCATTCTTCAATTCAGGAAAATCCAAACCTGACGAAGCCAATGAATCGTCGCTTCGACCCTCCACTTTTGGCCCATTACTTATATCAATTCCATTTTCCCAATTTGAATTCTTAGTTTCTTTGCCATTTGGGTCAGTTTCGAACTCAATTGGTTCATTCCCTGTCTCCTTAAACCCTAATTCGTTGTAAAACTCGAATTCTCCGGAACCCAACTCGCTTGAATTTTGAGCAAATGAATTCATCTTAGCTCCATTAGATCTGAAACTGCCACAGCCATTTCTAAAAGTGCTATCTGAAAAGTGGAGATTAGGGAGGTGGGGACAAAATGGGGTAACAATCTCTCGTGTCTGTACAGTTGATGTTTTCCGATTACATCTGGTAAACCCTAAATTTCGAATCCTGATGCCGGATGAATAAGGGAGGAGAGTTGAGGGGACGCAATCACACATGGTGAAAATCCTAGACTTTTGTAGAGATTGAGAGAACCTGGTGTGTGTGTGTGTGTGTGTGTGTGTGTGTGCGTGCTAATCAATCAAGATACATTTACTGGCTCTCAACATGATATTCTTGACAACTCGTGCTGAAAGCTTCTTCGCCGAGCTTTACTACCCGGAAATATGAGTGGGTTCCGTTTGGATAATTAGGAGTGGAAAGAAAAAATAATTTTAAAAAAAAAATTAGTGTTAATTGTTCATATTTTTTTAAAGGAAATTAAACATAACGTCAAAAAGATAGAAATATACACTTATTTAGGATGGCAATTCGTGTTCACAGGTCATAATGGTATCATGTCAACTTAAAGGTATTAAATTCGAACACGACTTACTTAATAGTCGTGTCAGGAACTCTCAACACTAACTATCTAACCCGACCTGTTTATTAAACGGATTACACGTGTAACCCGTTTGATGGCTTATTTACAAAAAAAAAAAAAAAAATTATATTATTTAAATTATTAATAATACTCAATAAAATAATAAATACTAAAAAATATATAAATTTTAATCAACCAAATTACTAAATAATTTATAATTTACAAAAGATTAAATTATAAGACACAAGTTTATATAATAATTTTAGAACTTAAATTATTTAGAATATATATAGTTAAATGTGTATAAATGAGTTACACGGGTTGAACCCCTCAATTCAAAATGACACGATTAATTAAACGGGTTAATCGTGTCGACTCGTTTATGACTTGAATCCGTTTAAAGTCAACCAAACCTATTTAACTCATGTAGTATTTGAATCGTATTGACAGATTGTGTCAACTTTTGCCACCCCCACACTCATCTCTATTTTGAAAATGGAGCTGCAATTGTTGACAACAAATTATTGTGTGACCCTCACAAAGAGCTTTTTTTATTTTTTTTTATTTTATCTTATCAGGGTTTAAATTCTAATAATGAATTTTAAAAAAATAGATGAAATATCACTTAGGTTAAGAGACCTTTAACAAATTTAAAATATTTATATGTAAATTCTGGTTGATAAAAATTTTAAAAAAAAAAAAAAAAAAAAAAAACATAAAATCTCAGAGTCCTTCCTCCTCTCCGGCGAGACAAAATAAATAAATTCATATAAGGATGACACCATCCTCTTCACTTTTTCCTTTTGGAATTAGCTAGGGTAAGCTAATTCCAAAAGGCAAAAATCCGTCAGTTCGGATTGCAGGCTTCAAGCTTGAAGTCGAATCACTAGTCATGACTAGGCACGGATTCATTAAGGGAATCAACGGAGACAGCCGCCCTCAAGAAATATTCTTTTATTAACAAAAATATCCATAAATTTTGTAAAAATTTTAAAATGACCCCTCAATTTCTAATAATACTCCAACTATATAATATCATTACTGTTCAATACCACCCTTTCTCATATGATGACGTGCGGTGAATTTGTTCCCGAACCTTGGACATATTGCCAGCGCAACAAGTTCATCTTTGAATTATTTTTCCCTTCCAATGTTTCTCTATTCACCTTCTTCTAAGTAGTTCGTACATTAAATCACAAGTAACTCGTCAAAGCTTATATCACAAAGTTACAAAAGAACAACCACAGAAAGAATAGCACATTCATGAATCTTCAAGCACGTGTTAAATTATCTCACCCAATTAAACCATCTACTGTTATTCGAAATTCTTAATTTTGTTCTAGGGAATTTTTCCACCCTTTGAGATCGAATTTTGTTTTTACATGTAAGCTCATTAAATGAGTCTCCGCATATGAGCCCTGACCGACTCCAACCTTATTCAAGGCACGATGACCCACATTGAAGACTTTCTATGCTAATAGCGTGTGATGTTCACTGTGATAATAATTTCTCATTGGAGGTCTCTGATGATTTATTTCAGAAATAAGAGTATTTTGAAATTGATTTTCTAGAGCATGAATATTTCCAGAAAATTCATGGGAATATTAATTTCAGGATTTTATGTAAGCCCATTAAATGAGCCTTCTGTATGCTTCATCATTATTCATAAATTCGACCAAAGAAGACCATTGCCATCGTCAAGTAGTATTTAGTCACAATCTAAGTCGACACAAATTTTCTCAACAAGCTCTCACCCTGACTGCGTTCTTGCTCTCATGCGCTTTCACTCCCATTATCACAATGTATGACTTATATTTTGCCCTTTTCGAACCACCGTTCTCGAATTCGCTTTTTGCTCCCATGCACTCTGTTCTCTTTCCTCCCAAATGAACTCATGGAATTTTGCACCCGCACACAAAAATCAAATACCTTCTGCATTCTAAACCTGCAGAATTCTAAAGTCTGCATGGAAGCTCAGAATCCACAATATGACAGCTAACGAAGTAGGTCAAAGAAGCAAAATGTGAACTAGTTGATATTTCTCTAGTTGAAATGAGAGAACAAAATGAGAACAACTTGATGTTTCTCTTAAAATAAAAGGAACATTTCATAATAGATTCGGATTTTTTTTGTTAACAAGAGAAGCCTCGTGAATATTGAATAGAAGACAGCTGGATCATGTTCCAGCCTTCCTACGTCCAACTCGAGCAACAAAACCAGCCTTAATTGGCGCCACAGAACGCTCTGAACCGCACTGCAAGAGAATGAAAACGGTATATCAATAATAAAAAATTCTGTAAACAGAAATACAAATTCAGTCCAACACATGAATTTCAGAACTTCCTGAAGATGACTAAAGAAATCAAACAATGTGTGAAAAAAATACTGTAGTTGTAAACAATCCTAATGATGCAGTGTGGAATAGCTATTTTTCAAAAACTTAAAAGTACTCTTTCATTGAGCTGTTGTATACAGAGGTTGCTCATCCAATAAAATGTCACCAACTTCACCATTAACAAGTTGTGACCCCATCTATGCTCAAAGCATGTCAAACAAACTCACACATAAATAAAAGAAAGCAAAAGAGAAAAGGAATCGTAATCCAGGGCTTCGTAGATGTTTACTGAAATAGGATGGAATTGGTTTTACCTGTTCACATTTGAGAAAGAAGAGGCGGTTCTCCTTTGTAAGAATTGTATCAGGACTTTTGCAGCCATTGCATATGACATATTCATCTGCAGTCGCAAAGCATTGTCCGGAGAGAATTCATAAATAATAGTAATAGCCAAAACAAAAACAGAAAATAAAAAATGTTGCAGAGATTTGCACAGGCAACTGCAGCCCCAATTATTCAAGCCAATCCTGCCAGTATGAGGACTTGCCACACTACTTCTATGGTTAAATCTCGGACTGCAAGGATATGAGTTCAAGTCTGAAGGCAGCCAATTGACGAAAACAACACAAAAATGTGTACTTCTGTACTCAGTTTACACCTCTCAATACCCTAGATTAACAGGGACTAATGCTAGATGACGCGTTTTTTCTTTTTATACACAAAACAAGGAACTTACTGACATATCTTCGCAGAATCCCCTCAAAGTTTTTAGGAGCAAATCTACCCTTAACAACCAATCTTTGCTGCCCATCAAGAGATCCACTTGTTCCCATTTCAGCGAGTAAGAAAGTCATCACATGCTCTGGCTGCCTATGCATCCTGAAATTAGACCGAGTGTTAAAGAGTACGAATCTCAAGGGCAAACAAGCAGAATCAACAGATCCAAACATACGTCTTGCACAGGTCCATGAAATTCACAAAGACCGTCTTCTTTGTGCCTTCTCGAAGAACTTGAGGTGGCCGCATAACAGTTCTTCGTCTATCTCCGGCAAGCTCTGGATTATTCTCCCGGAGGATATTAAACACTCTGCCTAGGAGCTGCACAGTCATGAGAAGCACAGGCAAATCTATTAACTTAAATGAAGGGAAAGAATATAGAATCAAGAGATGTGGAACATACCTCCTCATACTCGTAATCTCGTTCACTTCCTTCCCACGGGTACCGTGTTGGCAAGACAATTGCTTCCCCTTCTTCATCCTCACCTATACCATCTAAATGATGATGAAAAGTTAAGAATAATGTTTGACACATTCAGATAATCATTTGGCATTAAACCTGTCAGCATAGCTACTCAATCAATTGGCGTTTTAGAGATTAATATTGTTACCATCCAGATCGTCTCCCATATTGACATTCTCATTATTCAAGGAATCAGATTCTACCTGCAAGAACATAACATCGAGTTATTAGGTAATATAATGATGCAACTTTTTGCTTATGATCACGACTTACTGGTTTCTTCTTCTTCTTTTTCAAACCAACAAATGCGTTTTCAACTCCCTCAGAGACTGCAAAAGAAGAAAAAAAAAATTGAGTCTTCTAAAACATCTAGATACCTAAATGGCAAAAAATATTTTGTTAGGAAAAATATTGAGAATTAAACAAGTTATTGCATATTTATCCGACACATACCCGACAAGTTCTCTGTTTTCTCAGCTAACTTAGCTGCAGTATCATTCCCAGTGTCCTGAATTACCACTTTCTTTTTTTTCTTCTTCTTAGTAGGATCAAATGGTACAATCTGAAGAATAATAATCATAAAATATAATGTAGACAAGTAGAAACATGAAATTATTAGGGTAACTAAACCACAGCAACTACTAAAACAGACAAACTTCAACTGCAATGACAATTATCCTGCGCCTCTTCGGACTATCTGAGCTTCAAATCCTTCTATAATTGGAATTAGGTTGATGCTTATTTATGTGAAGCTTAACCAACAACAGGAAAAAAAGAAAAAAAAAAATACTTAAAAACAAAAACAAAATACTGAAATAGGCTCAAGAGAATGTTCATATATTTGATAAACAAAACCAAGACATGCAAGGAAACATCATCCAACAGATTAGGCAAAATTTTATTCCTGCATTTTCAAGGTGAATTCCACATGAAGGATAGAAAACCTCTGAGAACACTGCAGATTGTAAATCTTTCATAAAATCAAGGACAAAAATTACTCCAACCAATTTCAATGTGGATTTCATATAATCTTTTTTTTTTTTTTTTTAATTAATGGTTCAATTATGAGAATCTAAGAAAAGCTCCAAAACTTCAATGTTGATGTGTAATTAATCTTAATTTAGGGGGATGAATTCTAAGGAATTTAATGTGGGATTCCCAGATCTTTCTCATTCTTTTTCTCCTACTCTTTCTTCTTTTAGAATCAGTGAACTCGCATTACTAAAATCTTACGCAATCATGCAACAATCATCCTTAAATAATTATCTACCTTTTGGAATTTAATTTAACACCTAAACCCTTAAAATAGTTATTGTTCAGAGACTCGAATGCATTTTTTTTTTTTTTTTTTTTTTGAAAATCGGTAATCTGTTACTAATCAAACTAATTCCAACCCCTTTTGATTCACAATCTTATAAATCTTTTGTGTGTATTTATATATGTATAAACCCATAAAATGAGTTCAATGGCTATATTGAACTTTTTTTAGATAAATAATAATAATAATAAAATAAATATTTAGTCATGTCCATGCGTCCTTCTATTTGAAGATTTGACACGTATCCGACATACATACCCAAGTACATGTAACACGGTCTTATGGTTCTTATTCATGGCCATATCATTTGGTACCAGACCCTTCACCCTCGAGCTGTTCGAGAAACATGAATCATGACGGATGGGACTAGATAAGAAATGATAAAGTGTATATCCGGACTGCATTAAAGAAGGTTTAATATCATGCATGAGTTGACAAAGCGAGTAAACAACATTAGGTAGACTTCCCAAAAACGCATTTAATGGGAATGATAGGTTGCACACAATAACTATAAATTGTCCAGAAATTGGACGATTAGTGAGACAAGGGTGAATTAAGATATTTATTCTTTGTAGACCCTTTCTTCTTTATTTATTGACCAATTCTTTACTGAGAATATAGCCAGACTTAAATATCATTAACAACATGTTTTGGTTAGCATATGATTATTATTAATTGTAATGAAAGGGAGAGAGAGAACGACGACAACAAATACTTAAGAAACGCCAATTTATAAAATAGTGATGATTATCTTCGTTTTCATCTGGTTATTCTTATAAGGGCATTGCACTAAAAAGACAACCCCATTATACAAAACCATTATATATATGTATGTATATTCAAACACATTCTGATACATTATACATATATAGACATATATATTCCAAAAGAATGAGACAGAGACTCACTTCTGGAACATCCCCGGGAGTTCCATCCGCCATTGTTGATCTATAATCTGCACAAACACACAAAAGACAACAACAAAAACGCTCAACACCCAAAATATTCAACAACAAATTGACGTTAAATTTAACCCAATATGTGTGTGTGTGTGTGTGTGTATATATATATATATTCGTAATACTTGATATATATAGATATAGATATATATAAATGCTTAATTGTTCACAAGTTCCGGCGACCGTACCTCGCAAAACGCCGCTTAGGTTGGACCTTTCTTTCTATGGAATTGTGTTTCTTCTTTCCTATTGAATCGCTCTCTGAGGCTGAGCAGTATTTAAATTCAGGAGAGCAAGAAATGCGAGAAAGTAGTAGTTAAAACTGCTTCGTAGGAATAGCAATGACTTGTTCTTGTGGACCACGTCACCGTGTTGACGTCGTGTTTTTCCGATCACGTTACGTCACTTGCATGGTCACTATTTATTTCAATGATCCCGATTTCTCGATTTATTTTGTGAGTAAGAAGACTTATGCCAACTTTAACTAAAAAGAAGAAGACTTGTAAAGTGGTCGAGTATCTTTTTTATTTGTTTTGTAAATAACTAATGAAAAATAATTAGTTTGGTAATTCACTGCAAATAATCAGTGTAAGAATTATTTTTTTTATTTTTTTCACTGATCCCGATTTTCCGTTACTTCAGTGACTAGTTGTGAGAGAAAGAAAAGAAAAAGGGTGCAAGGTTCTAATTCGTGTTCCAGGACACTGGGAGCAGTGGACCACTCGGAGCAATACAGCACTGATCCATGTTTTACAAGTCCATAAGTTACTTAGGAATTACGCTTCTGCTGGCCCAACTTCTGCTATTCAGCTAAGCACAATATGCTATTTGACAGTGATCCATGCTGGTTTGATCAATGTGAATTGAATTTGAAATCCATAAAACTGTGAGCTGAACATACCTGTTTTATAGGACAAGTTTTGTGCAAGTCCATTTTTACCCTGGATTTTAGAAGCAAGCTTATTCGTGGAAAAAATGCTAAGAATTGCAATGTTATATGATAATTAAAAACAAGCTTTTCCAAAACTTCCTTAATGCTCTGTTGTTGAACTAAAACAACTTTAAATATAAACATCCACCATGCTTTTTCACCCAACCCTACCATCATATGTATAACTATTCGAGTAGGCTCAATGTCGAAAAACAGAGTAAATTGCTTTACAGACAGTATTTGTAGACTGGGAGAACATGATATCATTAACATTATATCAATCAATGTTCCACTCCTCATGAATGTGAAATGTGCATGGATTAGCATGTTCATCACTGGAAACGATTTCGAATTACTCCAAATCTGCAAAAAGGTCCAGATGATGAGGCAAAAGGTTTCCTGAAGAATGCTTTTAAGAAATTACTCCAAGTCTGCCATTAGTCTTTGTTCTACATGTTATCAGAATTTTGCTATTGCCAAAGGTTGTTCACAGCAGCAAAAAACCTTACCAAGCAGTCTAATTACCCTTGGTACTTCCTCATCTTCTTTTTTACATTTAGGTGTGCCAGAGGCCACGGTCAGACGAAAAAAGAAAGTTCTAGTTAATTTAACTGCACATATCAGTCCACAGGTTTTGGATCTTGTCATTCTTGAAAGGATAAAATAATTGTACAATAAAATTTATCAAATTTACGATTTAAGGCGAAGTATATTTATAAGACTCGGGATACTCCACAACAACAAGAACCACCATCCTGGCTACTCATACATGACAAGGAAAGCACACGAAGCAGTTATTTCTTACACGGCTCGGCAGAATCTAGAATGGCTGTTATCTTCTTCTGTAGTTCTGGCTTGTTAGCTCCCACGAGTTTGTCAAATTGTTGCCCATCTCTAAGGAAGAAGAAGGTTGGAGTGGCCTTAATATCCCATGATGTACTCAATTCCTGCACCAGAGAACAGCTATGAAAATCACCTGATAACACCAATATAAAGAATTGACCAGATTATCAGACGTTCACTTCACACTGTTTGTTTTGTGCGTCATTTTTTTTATTTTTTTTATTTTTTTTTTTCTCTTTTCAAGTTGGGCACAGTATAAGAAGTGAGGCCTTTGAACAGATGGCTACAAAAGCCTGATATGCCACTATGTTTTTCTTTTTAAGTTCCCGAAACGCCACTAACATTTTCCTTTACAACTTTCAAAATATAATTGCATTACTTACAATTAGTTCATCAACATCGACGGTTAGGAACATTAGAGAAGGGTGTTTCTCAGACAGCTCGCAGTAGAATGGTGCAATCACTCTACAAGGACCGCACCATGATGCGCTGAAATTTGCAACCACCTGTTGGAAAATGTGCTCTAGTTAATAAGGTGAAAACCACAACAAAAAAAAAAAAAAAGAAAAAGAAAAAGAAAAAGAAAAAGGGTCATGATAAAAATTAAAATCAAAACTCCAACAAGGATCAACGATTTTCACGGAAACTTGTATGTTATGAAGTAATAGCTGCCTTGTTTGTTGTATGAGAGAGAGAACATATTGCTTGTAGTTTCATGAATTATCATGGCTAAACTGTTACTCAGCAGGTCACCCAACTCGTCACAGTGGTTATCTATGATGTCAGTACCATATAATCCTGGCAATACAATAAGCATTTAATTTATTTATTTTATTTTTTGTTGGGTAAAATTCTAATAGGTAAACTTTCTCAAAACTAAGTAATCCTGGTCATTAGATGTAATTATTCATTGAAGAAAGTTCCAGAACTCACTTAGTATGCAGTTCATAGCTGCATTGGTTGGATCCTTCTTTTTTTCCCAAGTACATTGGAAAAATATATATTCTCTCTAAACATGTCAAACCATCAACTAATTCAAATATCTATACTGGTTCAACAATTTTTTCTCGTGGTCAAATTGGCAAAAAGAAGGGATGGGTTAAAATATATACTGATATTGATAGCAAAAACCTTTCTTAGCGAAAATGAAAGGGTGGCAATGAGATGCAACTTTTGAAGAAGGTAACTGGAAATGGGTAATGAAATTTTGGGTAGCAACAGGACAACATGTGAAAAATAATAATAATAATGGCATACAGATATGATGCCTTTATCAGAGTGCTCAACTCCGAAATAAAAAAATACATGGATTTCTTGAGAAAGGAAATTTGAACTTCCTACTGTCTGTAACGGGGTGGGTCTTTTGGTGGGGCCGAGATAAAGTAAAGGGTTTGCTGAAACAATCATCCATCACATATCAAGGAATTAGATGGCATCATAAAGTGGGAGGGGTGGACTGGATACAAACCAAACCTCTGGCATTATTTGAACAAGTAGCTGCTCTCAGGAGTCGAACCCACGTTCTCACACTTGAAAAACCGAGCATTTTCCAAGTGTACTAAGCAATAGCCCCTAAATAGATGGCATCACAGGGATAGATTTTTCATGCACAAGGCTACAGATGTTTACTCGATCCATTTTGTCTCGGATCTTTTTACAGATTTTGTATTAAAACCAAGCATCCTTGCAAATGTCAATTCTTCATTGGATTAAATTGACAGAGGAAGGACTGAACAACACGGTTAAAGAAATAAACAGCTGGACATTTTAGGCTAGAGGCATCAACATGAGGTTTTCAATGCACTTTTCTTTTTTCCTAGTTGAGATGCACACACCCACTTTAGAAGGTGAGGAAGTACCACTAGGCTACAGTCCTTGGGGATGCATATAGTGTTCTCGTACCGTTTTGATTATGAAAATGTAACTTTTATTTCTTGGAAGGGATTCTGACCTTGGAATAAAGTCTGGACCTCTTCACCTGATCTTTCAGATGCACACTATATATTTTTGCAGTACACGCTTAAAAACAATTTCTCATTATAATTATCATTTAAAGAATATAGCAATTATATAGAAAGGACTGGTCTACCTTTGTCCTACCGGGCTTTGGGACTTAACTCCCAAGCCCTAGGTCAAGGTTTTGAGACTGGTAGAAAGGGAAGAAAGAAAGAAAATAATTATATAGAAAGGAACAAAACTCTCAGAGCAGTGGATTGGGGAACCATCAAAAGTTTGACGGAAGTTAAAATGGCAATTTATCCAGCGAAAGGATAAACATGTGACAAATACTTACAATCTTGCCATCTCTCCTTGCTTCTGACAGCTTCTCATCCCAACTTTCTTTGGTAGTGATGAGGTGCACATTTGCACCAGCAAATTCAACATCAGGACCAGAATCATCTCCATCGTTCTGAGGCTACAAGTAGGATGCACAGTTTAACTTTTTTGTCAAGTAAACTCAAGGTAAGATTCAAAAGCTATGTGAACTGAAGCCAATTTTCAAAATCATCAGCCAAGCCATTGTCATATTGACTAAACTGATATCTTTTTGTGGGGAAAAGATCTTTAATTTTTTTGTATTGCCAGGCAATGAACAAAGAAAAAAGAAAAGATCTTTAACTAACACTAATATTTGGCCCCGTAGGGAAATTAACTCGAGCCTTTTTTGTTTCCATAACATTTTTTTGTTTCCATAACATTTGATGGGGAACACAATCCTTCTCAACAAATGAATCATAGGGGAGAAAAAAAAAAGAAAAAAAAAAAGCCATTCCATGACATACTGTAGTCTCTGGGAATTTGTTAAATATATCCAAACCATAGTGGAGTCATCCTTTTGAATTCCATGCAGAAAACAAGGACTAATTTCGTTTGACATTCAAATGCAATACCATATTGCAATTCATTAGGAAAGAAAAGTAATAGAAGTAGAATTAAAACCAATAATCTTACATGTAAAAGTGTCTTATTGTTTGAAACTGAGAATCCACCAAATTACGAATTAAAAGGAGTGAATGGTGCATGTAGACCAAGTAAAATGCTAAGTTCCAGACTTCCAATTACAAAGCCAAGTTGAAAACATTTTTTTTTCCTACAAAGTTGTATTACGGCCCTCATCCACCTTAGCATAAAAAATAAAATAAAAAAAGCTAATTTTTTAAAACATATTTATTAATTTTAGACCATGATTAGTTATTTGAAGGTAGAGCAGAATGGAGAGACAGGATCCATATATCTGACATCAAAAAGATGGGTCAAGGCTATGTTGAGTTGAGTATCATGACCTGTTGGCTTAGAACAGTCCCATCGTTGTCTTCTATAACCATTCCCATAACTTAAACATGATCAATAGACTAGCTCAACGTCCAGCAATTGAAGTACAGGCGCATAAAAAATTATTTTCAAGAAAATAATGGTATGTTACCCAAACTAAAATAAATTGTAATACAAAAATTATTTAAGTATACATTTTGTAAGCCCATAAATGCTAAGAGTGGCAATAATAGATGATTAATAGCCTAAAGAACAAAAAATATATATATATATATAAAAAAATCAAATAAATAAATAAATAAATAAATAAATAATAATTTAAAAAAGAAGAAGGAAGAAGAAAGAAAGAAATAAAAAACATAGACCACCATTAGTTTTAGTACAGATGTGGCTGGAGGGGGAACTATCAAGAGAGGAGAAGAGAAGGATCTAGTATTTGAGATGTTGAGAGGTTGGAATATGCTGTAAATTACTTCCAGGTAAAAGAGAACATCCACATGCAACTTTTATGATAGAGATATATTTAAGCTGATGAAGTTGGGCATTGTGTTAGTTCACAATAAGAAAATTTCCTCGTAAATCCTCAACAGGGACTCCCGGTTGCAAATTTATCATTTTTCATGAAAAGACAGCAACTTGTCTTTGCAAGAAGTTCTCATTCAAATCGTTCACAATTTCTTGTAAACTAAGGCATTCACCAAATATGAGGCCACACATACGCACACTTAAAGATGTAAATGCATCATTTATCTTGAAAAGGCATGGCAGCTTAATCTTTGCAAGAGGTTCTCAATCCCAACTGTCCATAATCCTGCAAACTAAGGCGTTCACCTAAAGCACACACAGCACTTACACTATGAAACACTCAACTAAACACTCCCCGCCCCTAAACACGGACACTCTAAGAAATAATCAACTCAACCCACGTAGACACAGACACACACTGACAAACAAATGCACACACATGTGAGCAAGCGCACACACAACACGAAGAAACTCCCACCCAAGCACGCAAACACACACCTGCACACACACTAACATATTGTTGATTCATTATGTGAAGGAGAGAAAGGAAGAGAAAAGGAGAACAAAAGTCTAAACAATTTCGTCTGCTTGGTTTTAGAGAAGAGGTGAAGAGAGAGAGAGAGAGAAGATGACCAGCGAGACTCATCCATACCCCTTATAGGTACTTGTACTTTGTGCTTCTATGCTGTAATTCTCTTGGAATCTCTCCAAATTGCCCTACTTTTGAAGTGATATTTTTTGTGGGACCAAGTGAAATTCTCTCTTCTAGTCACTCTCAATTTTCTTTCCCATCTTCTCACCTCATTAAGTGAATTAATAATAATAAAAAAAAAAAGTGAAAATAAATTGAAAAATGTTTCTTTTCATTTCCCCTATCCTTCCCTCTCTGTTCAAACGTGGTGTAAGAAACACCCAACTAAACCCACACACACTAGCACTCAACTAAACCCATAACAACCTTTCTACTCAGTCTTGGACCATACCTTCTAATGATACAACCAATCATATCCTTCCTGTAAGTGATCGATTTTTTAGCTTTCTAATGTCCTCAATTCCTCATAGACAATCAGCTTGAACAGTATCACATCCATAATGCTCCATAATTTAGAGCATACAAATAATCTCTTTCTAGAACCTTTTCAAATTTGACGTCTTCATCAATTGAAAATTCCCCTCTATCTAAGGCCATAACCTCGATAAAGAAACATGCTATGATATGTTTGCTTACTGTAAACCATGCTTCGTTTGGTCTTCACTTCCAACTAGCATTACCCTCAATGTGGACCACATCAGTCTTCCTCACTGGTGCAGTTTTGGTAAACACATCATATTGCTATTTTTAAAATGGGAAAATCAATATTACTGAACCAATAGATTTTTCAATGTACATTATGTCATAAAGGCAAGGCATAAAAGAGAACATTGAAAAGAGCTACAGTATGCAACTACCACCAGAAAATCAAGTAACTGGACAGAATAGCGAATGCAGATTAAGGGAAATCACTATCTTTATATTTCAAATACATATAATTTCAGAAGATTTTGAATTTATTTATTTGTTAATTAAGCAGGTATCAATTAAAATATAAAATTACCTTAGAACAGCAAAGTCCCATCTTATCTCTAGATTGCTGAATGTGTTGAACCCAGCTGCAGTACCCTGAAAGTGAAATTGAATTAAAAAAATTAACAGTATTAGTGCCAAGATTTAATCACATATTAATTGGTGAACAACCTAATTTAAATTTTAAAAAAAGTTCAATCTAAATCATAGCATATAATTCACATCAAATTTGTTGGCAACAAATGTATGTTTTTGAATGGTAAATAAGAACCACACATATAAGTACAACATTCTCCTCTATGGCATCTTTCAAGAACAAGTAAATAGAAAAACTGAGGAAATGTAACTGTAAATCTCTAATCAACACTTGTTGAAACACAATTAGATAGAAATTTTTTGGGGGGTTTAAGTACTAACTTAACCTAAATTTACTGAAACGATAACATTCGCAAGAAGAAGAAAAAACACGCACGCACACACATACAGACAATTTCAATTTATTTTTAATTTTCATAAACTCAATATCAGATACAAGACCTAGAAAACCCATTAAACTTTGCAGCAAAATTATTAATTTTTCTAAATATTTGCAGTGACATAACAATGAGAAAGATGAACATACATCAGTCAATCATCAGATACACAGAGTGGGAAACAGCAAAACCCAAAATTTTCTGATTATTTTAAAATAATAAAATATCGAACTACATTATAACTGAACCATTACAATACATGCAATACTTAAAATTTAAGGAAAATTGACCTCGATTTGAGCTTCTGGTGTCGTCTCAATCAGTTGTTTCCAGCTTTACAGGTCGTAAATTGGAATCAGAGCCCCCAAAGAAGAGAACCTTAGACTGGATTCAAAGTTCGGAGCATTTGAGATTCGAAGAACACTGAGAATGATAAACATTTCGGGCAAAAAGAAACGAAAAGACAAAAATGAGATGATTAGACGAATAACGAATCAATTGTTGGGTTTGTGATGTGTCATTTTCGAGGTGGAAAATTATATTTTTACCCACCTTATTTTAAGGTATTAACTACTATACCAACCTATATGTAATTGATTGTTGTTCTTTTCAAGTCTGATTTTACTCTAATGCCCCCAAAACTGCTAAATTGCAGAAAATACCTCTGATCCATGCATATCAATTCAAGAGCAGTGAATCACGTAATTAAAATTCAAGATGTGTACGGCATCGTTTTTCTTAATTTTAATTTCATATTTCTCTAACTTTACTTTACCACTTATTTTCTCTTTTAAACTTGCTGTTTTTTCTTTTTTACCTTCTTTGTAATTTGAGTTACTAAACAGAGATGAAAATACATGGGTTACTCGAGAGTCCAAACATCCTGGATTCCGACCACGACTATGAATTGCTTGAATTATATCTCAACAATTGTTAACAAAAAATAGAAATTATTTATGTGACTTTGTTTCTTTTTTTCTTTTTTTTTTCTTGGTTTGATATCCTTTTAAGAATATATTGGGATTATGGTAGTTTTGAAACAAATTATCATCCACTCCATGGACAAATTCTCAATCAATGCTTTGGAAATGTTTGCGTGTTGGGCACTATTATTGTGCAATTACAATAACATATTTTTTTTTCACATTCTTATCATTATCGTGATTACTACATATCTTTTGTGTTTACCGTCTTACCTTCATCGATACAAAGATAAAAATAAAATCATAATTTTGATTACAATTTTTTTTTTTTTTTGTGTATTTTTAAATTCTACCTTCATTGATGCAAAGATGAAAATAATCCTAATTTTGATTATAATTTTTTATTCTTTTACGGATAATAGATACCCATTAAAACTCACTGTTATTAAAACTCTTTCCTTTTAAAAATAAGCCACTTCAAGAATCATATCATGAAAATAATTTAATAATATTTATCATTTTCCATGAATTAATGATGTAACGCAGAAAATGGCTTTTGTTCAAGAAAAATACTCCTAAAATAAAGACTAATTGCAAAATTTGATTGCAGTTTACATATTCATTCCAGTCAGTCGTTCTTTAGAAAACCTCAACTGTTACAACATAATTTTAGTTAATCAATTGACTTGATTGATCATTGTGTTAAAAATAATAATAATAATAATAAAATAAAAATAAAAATAAAAAATAAAAAATCTTAATGAATTGCATGATGGATCGAATTAAAGGCTTTGCCAGTCTAAGTAAGGAAATGTTGTGAATAGTATCGTGTGTCTGGTTTAACTTCTAAAAATGAAAAATAAAATAATAAATAAATAAAAATTAGGGTTAATTTAACTGACATTCCTTTAGATTTAGCCAAAAATCACAATGAAACACCTTTCCAAAATTACTATTACTCAAACCTCAAATCACATTTCCGTCAAGTTTATCGTCAAAAAATGATAAATGACAATTTTACCCTTATTATTTTAATTCATTTTAAATCAAAATATCAACTAACTTAAAAGACAATTTTACCCCTCATTAATCACCTACCCACCCACCCCACTCCCATCAATATCGGTCTCTCTCTTGACCATTTGGGTGAAGGACCTCTTTCTCGATGTTTCACCAAGCTTGCATGTTCCCCTTTTCCTCATCTCAATATGATCATCAGAATTAAGGGTGCACACGGTTTAGTTCCTTACAGTTCCAGTTTTGACCGAAAACGGAACCGTTCGCAACGGTTCCTTAAAAAGGGAATTGGAACGGTATATTATGGAACCGGAACGAAACCGAATGAGAACCGTTAACATGATTCACCGAGTACCATGACAGGAATTGCAACATTGACTAAATGCCATAAATTAATGAAGCAATCTCGATGGGGCACACACATCCCGGCTAAGGAATCAACAACAATCTTAGCGTCTGATTCAAAGCACAGTACCTGAAATTTGAACTCCTTAACCCAATAAACTGCCCTTCAAACAAATGAGAGAATTTTGATCGAATAGTCAAAACATAATTAGTGAACCAAACAGTACTTGTATTAAGACAACACAGGTTCATTGCTTAAACGAAACAATTGCAATGTTCAAACCATCATTACTACAAATAGTACAGTACATAGCAAAATAATTAATATATTATCAAAAATATAAATATAAATAAATACAAAATACAGAAAATCTGAGATGGTGTGTGGGTATAGATCGGAGAAGTAGTGTGACTGTGTCGCTGTCTGAAAAGTTTGGAGGATTCACTTGACTCAGAAATCTGAGATGGGAGTGAGGATGAAATTATGAATGACTGATGAGAAATTTGAGATGGGAATGACAGATCGATCAAGGGGTTACCGAGTAATCTGATATCGAAGACGATTGATGATGAAATCTGAGATGGCGAGGGTGATGAGGACTGAGGAAATAAGAGGAGGCGACTTAGGCGAGGGCGATGAGGACTGAGGAAATAAGAGGAGGCGACTTAGGCGAGGGCGATGAGGACTGAGGAAATAAGAGGAGGCGACTTAGGCGAGGGCGATGAGAGGTCAGATTTCAGAGGAGGCAAGGGTTAGCTTAGGGTTCGTCTTTCGTCTATTAGATGAGAGATTGAGACTTGAGAGGAGGCGAGGACTGAGAGAGTGAGAGATTTAGGGCAAAAAACTTATAAAATAGGTTTTTTTTCATGCGTCTAAGGTCTAGCGACCCAACCCAGTGGTTTATTTTTACTTAATTTTTAGTATAAATTAAATATATAATACATATATAATATATATATATACGGTTCCGGTTCTTACCAGTTCCCACGGAACCGGAACCAGAACCGTATGTCCACGGTTCCTAAATTTGGAACCGAAACCGTGAGAACCAGAAAAAATGATTCTGGTTCTAACGGTTTCGATTCTGGTTTCGATTCTTTTGTGGACCCCTAATCAGAATCATTCCAATCAAATCTCTTTCCTAGGTGTAAGAATTGGTAAATCCAAAGGCAGAAAGATCAAAGGTACAGCAAATCAACTCTATTAAATTTCAACGCCAATAACACCATCAAATTGTCGACGGCAATCTTCTGGCTCTCACCATCAAATCACTGACAGCCATCTCGTAAATTTCTGCAATACTTCTTATATCTCTCTATCTAGTTCCAACTTTCCTTTAATTTCTTATTACTTCTTTGCACAAGACCCACAATCAAAATCTCTCAGTATTAGAGAACTGGTTGATTTCCTTGAAATTAAACTTTATTCCCTTTCCAAATTATTAGAAAACCTGTTGATTTTTTTGAAATGCGAGTTGGAAATGATAGAAATAAGTCTCTCCATGCTTGAACCTTACCAGTTCATTCTCTACCGGGGCTAGCTTGTTCTATATACACATTAGAAGGAATTTTATAATTCAATTATTACGTCTACATGTAAGTAACTCTGATAAAGTAACAACAATGTCAGCAAGTATATTAATCAATAACATTGTTTTCAGGCATAGCTGGCTATGGAAAATTCCACAAATGAAAAATAATTCCTAAAGTTCCTCTTAATGACCAAGTCAAACAATTGAATAGATATCATTTAGGTTTCAAAAAATAAAAATAAATTATTTTTCCAGTAAATGTTTAAGTTTTCTTCAATTGAATGCTACATTAAAATAAATAAATAAATAATAAAAAATCCATAATTGCAATAAGGGCGTGGTTGTGTTGACGCTATCCGGTCACTGTCCAACCTTCTATAAGCACTGATAAGTTGAATTTTGTGATTGTTTTGTTTTTTTCTCTTTTTCCTTTTTTTTTCCAGATTTTTGGAAGTTATTGGAAACTTGATGGTGAGGGAGAGGTGATGTCATGGTGGTGGTGACTTGGCCATTTCTGCTGAATTCCAGTATCCAGGACTCCTCCTTCACTCTGCTCTCTCCTTTTTCCTTTGCTCTAATTCCATGTACATATGCATATGTATGTGTGTGTATACACATATTACTCCGTACATGTTATATATATGCATGTGTGTTTACTTATATACGATTCATAATTGTCCACCAATTTTCTCTCTGATTTATGTATATGTATAAATATATGTGTGATTGCTGGTGGTGCTGGCCATGGTGGTGATTGATGAGTGTGTGTGACTAGTGGCAATGGGTACTTTGAGTACTTAACATGGTTTTTATGGGTAGTTAAGTCATTTTATATATTAAATATTTTTTTAATAAGTTAACACAAAGTCAAAGGGGCAACAATGTCTTTTTATATCTAAAAAGTAATTTTTGGAATGTAAGTGAAAAAGGGACCAAACTTTTGTAAGGTGAGTGATACTAATTTTTGAAAAGTGTTTTTATCTTATATTTGGTCAAATTTGAAAGGGTATTAGTAAAATTAACCCTAAAAATTAAGTTATTGGATAAAGGCACCTAAATAGGTATGGTAGGAAAAATGAGGAAGTTTCTAATTGATTTATGTGGAAGATGGGGCCAGGATGAATCCTCTCACCAACAGCAGTGGAAAAATGATGATTAGTTTAATGAAATTTGATGATTTGTTAACATATATATATATATATCAATTTTCTAATTTGGTCGGGTTTCTGTTTTATACTAAAATGTTTCCATTCATCTGACATGACTTTTTAGATGACCTGTCCCTACAAATTTGTTATTGCACTTAAATTTTGTATTTTTTTTTTTTTTTTTTTTTCCAATTCAAATTCAAAGTGTCTTAAAGGAAGGTGGCATCACCTCATATTTTTTTATACGAACAAACATCAAATTTTTTTCTTGTTAAAGAATTACAAAGCTCTAAAGAAATATAAAACACAAGTAAACAATAAAAGGAGTAAGAGTACTCAATTTCTGTGACACCGTAATCCTAAAACAATCAATAAGTTTTGACACAGTTCACTGAGAGAGAGAGGACTTAAACAAACAATTTGACTCCATTTGCGGGCTAAAAAGGAGCTCAAGACTAGCAGTTCAGTTAAAGCTTAAGAATATGATGGATCAGCAATGCCACTGCCATCAAGGTGTGTGAGTAGTCGCCCTTTTGAACTTGTTATCTTCCAATGACGGCCTGTTCCCAGTGTCAGATGGCCGGATTTCCTCGATCATCCTAACAACTTCATTCATTTTCGGCCTCATGTCTGGCACCACCTCCACGCAGGCCATTGCAATCTGAAGCATATGTACCATCTCTTCCTCAATATTCTCATACCTCATCAGCTCAACATCAAACACTTCGGCTGTCCATTCCTCTCTAACAACGGACTGGACCCACTGAGGGAGATCAACCACATCATCATGCCCCAGTGACTGGACTGGTGACTTGCCTGTCAGCATCTCAAGGAGGAGAACACCAAAGCTGTAAACATCTGATTTCTGAGTGGATTTCTTAGTTTCAATTACCTCTGGGGCTCGGTAGCCTGCAGTTTTAGGTGGGAGAGTAGGGATGCCCATGAGTGGAGTTAGGCCAAAGTCCGAAATGCAGCTGTGGAGGTCTTGTGCGAGGAGGACATTGGAGGACTTGATGTTTCCATGGGTGAATTTCCCACCACCAGCAGAATGGATATGAGCAACACCCCTTGCTGTTCCGAGGGAAATCTTTACTCTCGATTCCCAGTCAAGTGTTCTTCCAGTCACCATGTTTCCTGTAACCATTAGAATACAAAAAGATTGACAAGGGAATGTAATTGTCATTTCTCTCTAAGCACACTAGTGGAGCAATATCTATTCGGCCACAGAAAAAAAAAAAACATCGATATGTTTATGTATTTTGAATTACTGAAGTCTATGTATAGGAGCTATGGGGCCTTAAAATGCCTGTATTTAATCAGACTAGTCTCTCATAAACTAATAAGGCATTTATATGTTTCTGAATTTTGAATACCTCTAGGTACCATAAGCAGTCAAATTTAAGTTCTATTTATATGCTTGCTTTATAGCAAATATAGCAGAATATATACATTTCAATTATCCTGTACTCCATGTCTGAAAATGTATATATTAGGGTTGAAATTTTGACTCAAACAATGAAGTGCATGCCACAACAGCAATGCACACATTCATGCATAGTCCATTTGATTAAGGGCGTAAAATGGTTGTTTCATTCTTAAGATGGCTTGCAGATTTTATGACTAATTGCTATGAAGCTAAGTAGAAAATATAAATTGAAGGAAGAGAAATAAGATGCAAGAAAGAGTGGTGGATACCATGCAGTTGTGTGGACAGGCTTCCCAATCTAATGTAGTCATACACCAGGAGTTTCTCATCCTTGGAATAGAAATAAGCACGAAGGGGCGAAACATTTGGGTGCTGACCAACCCTCCCCACAATCTCCATCTGTTGTTCAAAGTCTCTTTTACCAACCACCACTTCCTTCAACCTCTTTACAGCTACAGTTGTTCCCTCCTCTAATATTGCCTTATAGGTTGTCCCATAACTCCCCTTTCCCAATACTTCAGCAGAGGCTCGCAACAAATCCTCGAGATCAAAATTAAAAGAACATCCTTCGAAGAAAATCAATTTGTTCTTTGCAGCCTCTTGCACTCCACTCCCGAAATCCTCTTTAGGCTTCTTGATCCTTCCACCATCTCCACCACTTCTACTATCTTTTTTCTTAAAACAACATAGCACTATCATCAGAACTAGAAGGATCAGCACTGCAGGAACCCCAGCAGCAATAGCAATAATTACCCCGGTAAATTTCTTTTTAGCTCTTTGTTTTTTAGGGACTACTGGTGAGGGTGGCAAGTAAGCTGGCAGAGGAGAAGGTGGCAAGTAAGTTGGAGAAGGAGAAGGTGGCAAGTAAGTTGGTGAAGGAGAAGGAGAAGGTGAGAGGATAGAAGGGCACCGGTCCAATGGTGAGCCACATAACATAGAGTTCCCTTGGAAAGAGGAAATAGGAAACTTTTGGAGGGAAGATGGAATTGAACCATTAAGGTGGTTGTAGCTCAAGTTCAAATGCTGAAGCCTCAGAAGTTTGAGATCAGGGATGAGTCCACTGAGGGAGTTGTTCTCAAGGCTCAATCCAGTGAGATGAGTCAAATTGTGAATTGAGATTGGAATGTTTCCTGTGAAGGAATTGAAGGAAAGATCAAGCACGTTGAGTCGGGGGGAGAAAGAAGAAGGAATATCACCTGAAAGGTTGTTTTGTTGGAGGTATATGTAGTTGAGAGAAGGAAGGGAAAGGATATCCAATGGAAGACTCCCACTGAGGTGGTTGGATCGAAGACTGAGGCTTGTGAGCGCGTCCAGTTTTCCAAGGGTGTTGGCTGGAATTGGACCACGGAGTCCAACACCAGGGAGGCGGAGAGCAATCACTCGAGTGCCATTTGGGGTGCAGGTGATTCCAACCCAAGAGGTGCAGACTGGGGAAGCAGGATTCCAGTTGAGTTTTCGGCCATGAGGGATAGAATCAGCAAAGTCAAGGAGACTTTGTTTGTCTGACTTCAGGTTAGCAATAGTTTGGGGGAGGAAAACCAGGAATAAGAGAAAAGTTAATGCTGCAAAAGGAGAGAGTAGCTTCATGGAGAGTTGTTTGGTGTGGGATCTCAGCAATACTTCTTGTTCCCCTGGTACAGCCATAAAACATTACCACATTTTCCCCTTTACTCCTGTCACCGTGGAAAAAATTGTAGCTAATTATGCAGCTGAAGTGGGGAAAAAAATAAATAGAAGAGAATGGAAAGGGAAAAAAAAAAAAAAAGGCAGTGAATACAAATCACCAATATATATATATATATATCTCTTTATTTGTAGCAAGCATGATTTTTAAAGTAGATATGTACTCCGACAATGAATGATGAGGCACATGGGATGTACTATACGGAAAAGAAAAAGAGAGAGAACTACAAAAATGGAAGCTCTGTGTCTTTTTCCTCCCTAAAACAGATAGAATGTTATGTTAACAATAAACTTTAAGGACATAATGTCCAACTGGTTTTGAAGACTGAATTCCAATATGCTAAACATTCATATTATATGTGATATATGAACATGTTTATATATGTTAAATCATGTAGGGTCATGCCCATTCCTAAGATTTCACTGTACATGTTCTTATCCATCAACTGTAATTGTCCCCATGAGAATCAAAATATACCACTTGTGAACCGAAAATTTAACACTTGCACTGGAAGCATTATCATCTAAATCAGTTGTATCAGTTGGGTAAGGAGAGAAGTTCCCCATTTGCCTCAAATCCTAGTGTAAAACTACTGTCACATTTTCCGCTTCCTTCATTGTTGAAAAGTAAATCAGTAATAAAAACATTTTTTATTTTTTATTTTTTCAATTAAAAGCACTCTGAGATGAAACTAGGTTCTCCTTCAATGGAGGCTCTGATATCCAATTCTGCCCTCCATTTAATTAAAACTGAAGCTGAACATCAACAAAACACACATACTGAGAGAAAGGGGTAAAAGTAACACTAAAAATTCTTATCACAAACACTGAAATTAGTTCAATTTTCAGCTTTTGGAGTCTTAATAAGCTGTTTCTAGATAATTACCACATACCTAAAATCAGAAACTCAAATGAGATTCTCCACAGAACACTAATACTAACCGAGCAAATGAAGAGATTGCAAATTAGTCGTACAACAAGAGCACATACAGAGATACATACAAACACACACACATATAGAGAGAGAGGGGGGTAAAACCTTAGGGAATGCGAGCAGGGACTTGCGGCATTAAAACTCCGGTGGAACGAAAGCAACAATCAATGGTAGGGGCTTTATATTCATTCCTCTCTGTTGTAATTTAACGGCATTTCTTCTTCTTCACGAGAGAATTTGGAGAGGAGAGAGAGAGAGAAAAGCTATGGATTCGCCAGTAAAGTATAGTAGTAGCACTCGTAAAAATTAACAGAAACAAAATTTAGCTTCTTCGTTAAGCCAACGGAACGGGGACACAGATCTCAATGATACTCTCTCTCTCTAACTTTCTGAATCTTTATGAGAGAAGTACTCTGACTACATTTTCAAGCTAATTGTCGAGGATGAAATCCAGACTTGTCCATCTATAAATAAAGCAGCAGCAAGAAAGAGAAAGTTTAACAACTGTGATATATATATATATATATATATATATAAACAAATTGTTTAACAACTGTGATATATATACATGTGTGTGTGTTTGACTGTGTGTGTAATTTTTATATACACAAATATCAACAGATACACATCGTTTGACAACTGAGATATAGTTGTGTGGGTTACGTATATACTATGTAATTTATATTTTATACGGACACACTAAGTATAAATATAAATTTTTATTTATATACATCTATCCACTATCGAGTAATGGTATTAAATTTTTTTAATTAATTTATAATTTTTATAGTAAGAGTTACTCTAAAATGAATTAAAAAATATTCATTAGAAAATAAAATTATATCATTATTGTAATTATATTCATAACATATAATATATCAATATTTTAAAGAGGCAATATTTACACTCCACTTTTCTTTAATTGCACTACACCTATCTTTTTCTTTTAAAGAAAATGACAAAAAGATTTTTCAATTCATTAATGCACTATACCTTATTTTATAATGCTATAACTACCATTTATACAACTTAATTTTTTTTTTTTTTTTTTTTTACCTTCTGTAATTCCTTTACTATTTTTTTTCCTTGTGCTATACTTTCTTTTCAAAGGTCCTCTCGAAGAAGATAATTTATTCTATATTGATAATTTTATTTTTGACAGTGAAAAGAGATAATTTATTCTTGGTAGTCAAAAGAGATAATTTATTTCGTGACTTTTTTTTGGTGCAATCAAAACAAATAATTTATTCAACAAAGTTGAATTTTTTTTTTCAGTCATGTCAAAAGAGGTAATTTTTTCTTTTTTTGGTGATTTTTTATGGTCCCATCAAAAGAAATAATTATCCAATAGAAATATATACATTTTTTTTACGGTATTATCAAAAAAGATAATTTATTCAATATATATATTTTTTTTAATCCTCTTTTTTCAGTACTTTTTTTTTTTCTTTTTTTGACAAAAGAGATAATTTCTTCAATAAATATATATTTTTTTGTTGGGGTTTTTTTCCTATCAAAAGAGATAATTATTTTAATGATTACTTTTTTATTTTTGGTCCGGTCAAAAGAAACAATTTATTCAACATAAATTTTTTTTTTTTTTTTAATCCTCGAAACAAAATATTATTCATTTTTTTTTTTTTTTATCTTGCCAAAAGAAACCTAAAATATTAAAGGTTAGAGATAAGGGGAGAAAATCTAAAAGGACAGTTGTGTCATTTTAAAAGTAATAATAATAAAATTGTAGTGCAAACGTAAAAAAAAAAATGGAGAACAAATAACGCCTCCCTTATTTTATTTATTTTATTACTTTATCATGATAGTATTCATATTACTTTCAAAATTACTGAGTGGACTCAGTAACAGATTTAGGAATTCATATGAGGGGGGGATTTATATAGGTGTTTTTTTCGTAATTTTAATGGGGGCAATTTCAAAATTTTATAGATATATTTGCAAAAAAATATAAATTTAGAGATATAAAATGTAATAATAAAAATTTTCAGTGGGGGGCATTCGCCCCCAATGAGCCCTTTACAGTTCCGTGTATAGTAGAGTTGTATTATAAATGTTCAGAAAGTGTCGACGAAATGTCTGAAAAGTGTTAACGAAATGTCCGAAATAATAAAATTAATTTTTATTTATTCGAGGGGTACCGGTGTCAGACACAAATACGGCTCTTTCGTTGAGATATTAGTATATGGACTAAATACTAATACTATATGATTCCATAAATTTATTCACACGTAAGGAATGAGTTATTTTGAATCTTTGAATCCATAAAGTAGTAGGTGAAATATGATATTGCATTAATAATGCATTACATATATTTATAATAAATAAATCATAATTCATAAGAAAACTAATGCAATATGAATTCTTATAATATAAGTACATCTAATACTGAAAGCATACTAAAACTCGAAAATAAAACTTTTTTAAAAAAAATTATGAGAAAATAGAGAAATAAACCTAATAAAATAAAACTACTAAATATAAAAATTGAATGCAATCCTAGTTCGTTTATATAACAAACAAAAATTCAGAAATATTTGACATGTTTCCTATAGGACAGAAAAATTCCATTTTGAGCCTTAAACGATAATATTTTACCGAAAAATGGATTACGATCACCGCATAGCGGTGAGTCTTGCTTGTTGCGTCATTTTCAGTAAAGAAAACTCTCATGTGGGGTTCAAAGCGCACACTTCGAGATCAATCTAAAAAATCTATCAACATGCTTTTTTTAGTCCTCTGATAATCCAAATGAACCATAAACACTTCAACAATCAATTATGCATCATTGATGCATGTTGTCAGATGGCGAACATCAAATAAACCAACCTTTATTTTGTCATCTAAGAAAAAGAAAAAATGACCATTATAAGTAGTAGGAAAAAATAATTCTTATTGTAAAAAATCATTCATGATATATGAAAACTTTTTATTGTCACACAGATTATGTGGGACTAGAACGAGGTCCATCGGATTAGGGTTCCATTTCTAAAGTGTTTAATATATTTTTTTTTATTAAAAGTTAAAACCAAACACACACCTTTGAATCTATACACTTGAATTTCAACAGTTAAAACTGAAATTTATCAACAGAGAAACAGATATTTTCAATTTACAATTACACATATAAAGTTATGGGGCCTACTAGAAAGATTATATAATGCCCAAATTGTTTTATGAAAATATGATTCCAAAACCATCATGATCCCCTCTTTGGTAGAAAGTTATTGCAAAGAAGTTCATAAACGAGTTTTCATGCATTTATACTCCGCGCAGCGTGAAGGGTACGTTTAAATCTTAAATTTTGTGCGTAGAGTAATGTGAATAACACTCATCTCGTTTTGTATTGCAGAGAATTCAAACTCAGCAAATTAATTTTGTTTTGTATTGCAGAGAATTCAAACTTAGCAAATTAATTTTGTTTTGTATTGCAAAGAATTCAGACTCAGCAAATTAATTTTGTAGGCTTAGTATAACTTTGTGGTTAGTTAATGCTTATAAAATTATTTATTATTTATTTTTCCTTGTACATATAATGTTTGTCACTCTCAAATAATTCCCAAAACCAAATGCCTTTTATGATGCAATTTGTTTTATCAATGCAATTCATAACAAAGTTTAGCCATCTGTTTATAGAGGCAAAATAACAATGTTTGGTTAACACAAGTATCAAAGTATACAAGTGTTGGAAGCACAATTCAGTTATAAAAAGTACAAAAAACAGCCATTGTCAATAGCCCCATCTGAAATTAATGCCTTAATTGAAGGGATCATTTTTAGAAAAGGAGAAGCAGATGAAAATGGGTGTTGGAATTATGTTATATGAATTGACGAGGTTGACCCTAATGCCAGTTGGACAGCGCTATAATATATCTTAAATGTACAAGACCATGAAAGCTGGATTTTACTCAGCAATGTGCATGTCATCCTTGCTCGTGCCATGAAATGTCAAGGTATAGTAATAATTTTGAGATTTTATTTAGTTCACAATAATTTAAAACTATTTCTTTAAAAATAGAATTAAAAAGAGATTCCATCTATTTTTATTTGCGGGATTTTCCTACCAAGAATGGAAACTAGGATTATGCGCAAAAAGGTCTATACATATAATAACTACCAACAATTTCACTCAGATAACGTGAATCTTGAGGAAAAGTCCACATCTATGTTGGAAAATGGTGGTCCTAAAATGAAATTTTCTTATGGTGGGCCTAAAATGCAATTTTCTAACATAAATGGTTATGGACCATAACGTGGTCCTAGTACGGTGGTCCTCTTAGTGTACCATGTAGTCTTGAGTGTTGGCATTGGATAAGTAGATGAGATATTCTTCCAATTTCAAGAGTTGGATGAACCTCTCCTTTGGGATAGATTTTTTGGTCGAACACCACATATTTGGTCTAACCTATCTATAACTGCTCAACTCACGCAATTTCATTTTTTGATACCAAATCCCCATTCTTAATGACCTGGTTTTAACATTCTTTGCGTTTCAAAACACAAATTTTGCTTCTTAATATACAAACAAGTCTTAAGTGGTTAGCACTCTGTTTTTTCTTTCCCTCCTACTTATCCATAACAACATAGTGTATTGGAAAAGCAAATGTTAGGCATTTAGTGCCCACTAATATAGGTGATGGATATAGGCATCCTAAATTACCCCACCCAACCAATGTTAGTTGATTGAAACATGAAACAAGACACATCCCCTTCTTCGAATTCCAATGTTTGGTAGCTTTCTTGTTTGGTTTGTAGCTTCCATGACTGGGTTTATTATATTCATGTGCTTTCTCAACCCACAAAAAGATGCGACTTGTGAGGAGCCCACCAAAACTTTACATACTAAGATTGACTTTTTTTTATTTTTTATTTTTTATTTTTCGGCGGTTAACTTTCAATGTCGTCGTTTTCTATTGATGGTCGACAACATAATATTTTTTTATTTGGATCACAACTTTGAGCTTTTATGTTTTTTATATTTAATTGTAGCTGTAAGATCCCTGATCCCACATATACATATAATCATATAAATATATATATATATATGTGGGATGAGCTTTCCGTCACTCAACTGAATAAACTGATAAACTACATCAAGCTGAACTTTTCTTTTCAAGCCCAACTTCTCCTAAAGTTGGTTGTTACAACCCACCATGATAACCCAGTCTTGACTCTTCTTGACACCGTAGCGCTTTTTCCTTCACACAAACACACGCATTAATATATATAGCAGAGTTTCCACTGGTGTAGAGAAGAAAAAAGTTGGGCAACTATTAATTTTTCTATCCTCAAAAAAATGTTCATGCTTGCATCCTCCATCAAAGGCCATAACCCATAATAAGACAATGACAAAATAGTAGATAGGTAACTGCTGCACTAACGTTCTTAAATTGCTAGAATGCCAAACAACTACTTTGCTTGCAGCACTGGAAATAAAACATCAACCATTTTCTGTGGATAAAACCCAGTTTGATATTTACTCCAATTGTTCAACCAAGCATAGCTGAAGGGTATACCCTATTATAATTTAAATGCATAAAAAATTGAGTGATTGCATCTTCTAAAATCAACCAAAGTCATTTTTTAAAAGAGACAATTTAAAAATATTATATATAAAATGAACAAAACCACTTCGGAGAGATTACAAGGGGCCAAAAGGCTCAGGCAGAGGCTCAAATCCGTTATCAAATATGGGTCCTTGATCAGACTTATCGTCAACACTATGTAGCCAGTTCATGTCCTTCAAGTCCTCTTTGAGCAGAATCGCATCATATCGGGAGCTCTCATATACGTCTAATTCACTCACTTTGGTTGAAAATCGATGATTGTATTCTTCAGTTCCATTTTCAGGAGACCTGCTAATATAGTTTCCATTTTCTGAAATGAAACCATTATTATTGCTGACAGGGATATTCCCATTTACAAATGCTGGAGCACTCAAAGCATGACCAGTTTGCTTTTGGCATTTAGGATTGCCCGATCGAATGCTCTGAGGGAAGAGGGTTGTGCCTGATACTGGACGAATTCTACTAGTACCATTTCTTATGTCCTATGAGAGAAAAGAATATTGTCAAGTTTGAGTTAATATAATAATTTATGTCAACTACAAAAAGAAAAGTAGAAATGTTATGTATCACTTTAAAGTAACATGCATAAAATTTCTAGACATCATACTGCCAATATCACTTCAAATTGTATTTCCTAGACCTAAGCAACTCTACTTTCTTTCACCCTTAAATAAGATGGTATGTTGGAGATCACGTTGACAGTAACTGATATGGTAACGCAACAACAGTGAGATGATACTGAAATTCATGCGATCATGATAATAGTGGCTAGGGTGAGATGGCGAATGTAGAAATTAAGATGATAACGAAATGATCATAATCAGCAGTAATGGTTGCCAAATGCTATGGTGATTATCATGATTATGACAGTGAACATGACAGATCTAGTAGTATTACTTATGGCAAACACATGAAAGGGGGGTTGTTTAGTGATGATGATTAATATAATTAGACTATTATGATGCATTAAGATAATTATATGGCTGGCAAAAAAATAAAAAATTAAGACATTTAAAACCTATAAATTGGAGAAAATAACAAGGAGAGTAAATGCATACCATATGTCTAATAGCCATATCCAGTGATTTCTTTGAGATTGTCCTCCCCAATCCTGGGCTTTCTGTGGCGGTGGTTGAAGTCTTCACAGATTTCCGCATTGATAACTCTGAGACGTGTGCAGGCCTTCGAGACTCCAATGCAGCCTGACCATTAGCATGCGCACGACCTCTTCCAGTGGGTTCTGGTAGTCTTCCCCTGGTGACAATGGGTGATGACTGTCTTCTTGGCAAACTTGCAGGGGTTGGGGTCTCTATGTTCCTCTTCCCTGTAACAGTCGAACCTGGCCTGGCCCTACCAGCAGAAACAGGCCTGTCTGGCAAAGTTGTCCGCAGGTTTGGTGGTGTTTCAAGTGGGAAATCAGGGAGAACCATTGGCTGTGGTGGAGGCCGAACTCGCGAACCCGGGGAGCTTGGTCTGGACACTGGAGCTGCATTGCGACCATTTGATAAAACACGTGTAACTGATGTTGAAGGTCCTGTCGCCACAGACAGAGAAGGTGCTGGACTGCGACGAGTAGGTGTCGATGGTCGAGAAGCAGACCGAGCAGCTGGAGAATTCAAGTTTGCAGGAATCTGTGGCCTGGAAGTTGGAGTTGAAGGTCTTGAGTTATGGGACGGTCTTGTTTCACCGATGGAAGAGCTGGCAGGGGCTCGACGAGCTCTAGAAGGAGTTGAGGATCGCGAAGGTGTGGAACAGGTAGGAGTAGAAGGTCTTGATGCGGATGAAGAACGGTTAATAGGAGTTGATGGTCTAATGTAAGATGAAACTGAAGCTGAGCTTGTGTTGAGTATTGAGGTAGATTTGTTCGAGTAGGTACTGTACTGTGAACTAGTGATGGAAGAGCGAGTAACTGAACTGCTTCTAGTTGGTCTTGACTGATGGTTGCTCTCCAGTTGTGATACTGAAAGCTGACATTGAAAAATAGGTCAGTCATGATTTCAAATTTCCAAACCGATTTCATAAATTGCCATTTACCAGCAACAAATCATTATTGTGTGGAGCTCTGTGCTCATAATAAAAGAGGAAGAAATTAAAATAGGAAAATTCCTAATAAAATGAGGGTGTAAGTTAAGGTTGCATTGCCATCCACCATAGAGAGACATCATTGGATAAACCATAAATTGGTTTAAACAGGTAAACCCTAGTGTCATGGTGAGGCTAGTGAGCTATGTTCAGCACGATTGATTTGAATCAAATTAAGGTTGCATTGCCATCCACCATAGAGAGACATCATTGGATAAACCATAAATTGGTTTAAACAGTTTAAACAGGTAAACCCTGATGTCACAGTGAGGCTAGTGAGCTTTGTTCAGCACGATTGATTTGAATCAAATTAGTCCAAGTGCATTTGATAGGTCCCTTTGTTAACCAGACCTAAACTTAATTCATTGTGTTGATTCCATGGACCATTTTCAATCTCGTTCCTGATTTTCTCAAGATCCATGACCTACCATTTGTTTTCAAGTCCCCAAATACAAGATTTAATAACTGAGATTAGATTTGTGGTTGAACTTTCTTGAGTCGAAATCACTGTTTAGGACTAGCATGGACTGGGTTGACGATTTCCCAGGAAACATCATATTAGAGATCTGCAACCCAAGATACTTTAAAACTATTTTAACAAGTTCCTTAAAAGAAGATCCCTGAAAAGGAAGCAATCACTCTAGGTTTTTTATAGACATGATTCAGAACCAAATCTTTCATTATTAGGCATTAAAATTTTGACAGCCCAGATCACAAGAATGTAAACATTGGATACAATTATAAGGCATGAAGACCAGAAAAGTAGAACATAATGTCATAAACATTTGATGGAATCATTAGACCCTTTTCAATTTTCTTCATAATTTGCTACATTCAACTTTATAAAAATTATAATCATGAGAGACACCAATTCACCAAATTTAAATTAAGTGATTATCCAATTAAGTGTGTTTGATAAGGTAATTTGGATCTCGCTTAAAAAATAAGTTCCAAATAAAATGAGGTAAAATTTCAAGTGAGCTCTGAACACTAAAAAATTCAAAAACTTATCAAAGAATTTCTCAATTTACAATTAGCACTTAAACTCAAGTCTTCAAATTTTCACGGCTTAATTTCAAGTTTTACAGCCAATACAAACTTTTTCCAATAATATTTTCAGAGACTATTTATGTTATATTTACTAAATATACTCAAGGCAAAAGAAAAAACGAAATTTAATATTTTTTTTCGTAAATGTAGGTCAGACAGACAGTCACTTTATGTATTTAATTGGTTGAGAATTTCAACAACTAAAACAAAAGAACACAGAAAACATACCCTTGAAGTCTTAGCTGTAGAGTCTGCTCTAACCGTGGAAGACCTTCTTGGACCTTCTGGGGCTGGTTTAGACTCATTTCCATCCGATGAAGGAAAAAGTGGGGTTTCAGGAGGAGTGAGAAGCCTAGAAACATTAATGGGTACAATCAGAAACACATAACAATCTATAATACAATTTTAATTCAAGTTTCACGACACTGCAATGAATGCTGTACAGATATGTTAAGTTTCTTTTTTTATTTTTATTTTTCTTTCCTTCCTTAGGTTGATATGTCAAGTTTCTAACATGGCAGCAAAATGAATTTATTTTTTTATCTTGTATTTTGCAAGTTGGATTAAAAAATTTGTGTGTTTAATATGATTAATAATCATAACCCTAAGTTGAACTTCAAATCCAAAATCATTAATTAGAAGTGACTTCATACTAAAAAATGTGCAAACTTGACCTCAATTTGGTGGAGGTTAACATCGAGCAAAAGGAACTCACTAAGTTTGAACAATTTTTGAAGACATATGGGAGAATGAAAATAAAGGCACATGTCAAACCAATGCCCTGTGAGACACCCTGAACATTAGGCTAAAGCAGAAATGTCCAGGGGTGGTGTATGTGTGAAACCCATGTTACATGGACTCGGCTATGAGTATCAGGTGCCAGTATGCATCTAAATATTGGACCTCCCTAAAACCCAAGTCTTTGGATATAAGATTTCATCTTAAATTGTGTCCAAAACTTAAATACTGATACATGGTCATGTCTTGCACATTTAAGTTCATAATTTTTTTATGCAATAGTGTAATGTATAATGGTGCTTTTATTCAGAAATATAATCAATTATAATTTAAATTAAATTGAATATGATGAAAAAGGGGATTCTATCTATCCCAAAGATAAGAAACCATTTTTGCTTTTGTTAAAATTAGGGTTCAAAGAGAAGGTAAGAGTGAAGACAGTGTTTGGGAAATTTCTCAGAGAGAAATTTTTTTTTGCTTTTGATAATTTTCTGAGAGAGAAAATGAGCATTAAAGAGGCATACCAAAATGCATGATTAGAGATGATCGTCAACCTATCCATATAAAGAGTTCACCCTCAGAGCCCTTTCGTTATATCAGAAAAATACTAGCATTGGTGAAAAAAACCCAAAAAAAAAAACACGAAGGCCTTAGGAATTTGAGAAAATTATCATGCCAGTTGAGTTTTACTGAATCATCAACATATAGAACAAGGAGACAACATTGTAAAAGGTGGATTCATAATTTGTATTAAATCCATTGATTTAACTCCACCTAACATCACTGTATAAAGGGGCTAGATCTGAAGTTGAATAATGTACACATATAAATCAAATCAACGAAGGAAAATATTCACAATTTACCAATCGTAGTCGTGCTTTCCTCCATCAGTTGACGACAATAGATCATCTATCCCATTCCTCGACGGTTTGGCTGATCCAACTGAAAGTCTCCCCAATTTCACTGAAACTGCAATTAGGTAATGAAAAGTAAATTAACACAATCAAAACGCTCTGGCTTCATAAAATCCCAATAATTGAACATGTATGAAATAAATTATGAACAAGTTGTGAAGGCATTAATTAGCTGATTGAGCAGAATCAGATCAAAAGTAAATGTGCATTAAACAAAATCATACAGCTTTGAATGAAATATCACAGTCCACAAGTAAATAAGGAGTAGTGAGATTCAAAGAGAAGGATAATGCGGTGCATATGAAGAGGAATCGTACCGTCGGATTCGTCGGACGAAGCAACGGAGAGAGTCCGGCGATTCCTAGAGAAGAGATCCAAGTTCTCGTCCGTATCCTTGGAGATTCCGTTGAGACTGAGACCTCGCCGGTGCTGCGACCTCCCTCCGATCAGAGATTCCTTCAAACTCCGATTCATTTCTACGGATCCAACACCATTACCATCATACACAAGGTTTAACTTGTGCTTGAGAGAGAGAAGAGTAGATGAGAAGTAAGATACAGATTTTTGTGACTTTTACGTCTGTTTTGAGAGATAGAGAGAGGGAGAAATATGTGCAGTCATGTTCCGTTTTTGAAGCAGCGTTCCTAGCGTGGCACCAATCTCTCCCAATTTTTACTCTCCAAAAATGTAACTTCACACTTTTCCAAAATCACGTCAGGAAATTCTAGTGCATCAACGGCTTCGAATTTTTACTCTCCAGGAAGAAAAAAATAATTAATTAATTAATTAATTTTAATTTATTTATTTTTTCCTAACTGTTATAAGTTGTCGTATTTATAGAAAATAAATTATTTTTTTAAAAGAAAGATAAAAAAATTAAATTTTAAAATTATAAAATGTTTGTGTTATTGTCAGTTGTGGCATAATTTAAAAGAATAGGTTTTTTCACTTTGGGCCCAAATTAAATTTTTTTTGGATGTCTAGACAATATATTTTTTATTTAATGAATTTTATTTTATTTTTTAAAAAATATGAGTTCAAAATAATCTATATTTGAGTTTTTTTCCCAAAAACCATCATGCCAAACAGTGGCACTGTTTCGGACTTCGGTACCAGGGATAAAAATAAAATAAAATAAAATGTTGTGCCAAAATGGCTGGTTTTGCGGAAATTTTCCGCAATCAGACTCGGGCTAGCGCTTTTGAGTAGTTTTTTTACTAGATATTTTGTTACTTGTGTTTTTATTTTTTATTATTTTTATAATATTTTGGCATTGTAACCATAAAAATAAAATTTATAAACAGTTTATGAATATTCTAATTATATTTTACTTTTTAAATACTTCGTGTATATATATCTTGAATTTCTATTTAAGTGGATAGCTACTTAGTAGTTGGCCTAGTTTGGTATGCATTAATGAAATGAAATGAATGAAATGAAATGATCATTCTTATTCTTTTGTTTACTTACAAGTATAAAATGATGGTGGAAGGTGATAATGGTGGTAACAACAGCAGAAGGCAGTGGCGGCGATGGAAGGCAGTGGTGGTGACAAAATGCAATAGTGGTGGTGGCGGTGACAGTGGTGGAAGGCAGTAACAACGGCGATAATGGTGATGGAAGACAATGGCAGTGGCGAAATGAGGTGGTGCTGGCAATGGAGGGTGGCGACGATAACATTGGCGGCAACAACGACGGTGACGGTGACGATAACAAAAGGCAACAACGATGTTAGTGGCAACGATAAGTAGAAAGCAGTGGTTGTGGTGAGGGATTGTGGTGACGGTGGTGGTGGCGACCAAGAATTTCATTACTTGAAATGAATTTTTATTCCATCCGTTTAAATATGGAATGGATTTTAATTCCAAGAAAATAATTATTCCCACTCTAAATGTTATACCAAATAAGAGAATGGTTGAAATGTCTATTTCATTCAATTTGTGCTTACCAAACTAAGCCTTAGAGTAAATTACACTTGTTTGTCTTGAAACTTTATTAAATCTCTTCTTTGTTAAAGGCCTCTTTTTTGTTAAATTACACTCACCTCTCAATAAATTTGTATGTAAATAACACATACCTCTAGTTTATTAATAACTGTCACCAAAAATACTCAAGTCAACAACTCTGCTTTAAAGGTTATCACGGTCAATAACGAAAAATAATGATGACAACAATTTTATAATTTTTAAATTTTAATTATATCCTGAAAAATATATTTATTGCAATAAAATAAAAGTATACATATAAGGACAGGCGTAATTATAAAATTCAACGTGACATAAAAGTTCAGTGTAATTTAACAAATAAGATTTGGATCAGTGCAATTTACTCTCATAATCAACATTCCAATTTTAATCCTCATATTTTTTATTCACTGTTTTATGTCATGTTACAGTGTAAGTTCACCTGTCCAATCAAGAGATTGAGGCGTAGATATTTGAGATTGTGCTCCCATTGTTGAAGACGCTATCGAAAACGATTGAGAGTACGTACATCCCAGAGAGTTGAGACCTACGTCCAATTTGCTTTTCTTTATTATTATTATTATTATTATTATTATTATTATATGATCTAATAAATTAATTATACAAATCAACCGGTCATTTATTAGTACCTGCAAAAAAAACAATCGGACTATGCTTTTCACTTATTATAGCAATTATGATTACCGTCACTTTACCTTGACATGAGATTGCCAAACAGCCCTCCAATTCATTGTAAAACCACCTAGAAGAGGAGTAATTTTTAACTAGAAAATTAGTGGTAAAGAGGACGAACTTGATTCATAATAAAATCAGTTAAAAGGAAAAGTTATTTATCTAGAAAATAATAGATGACCAAAACTTACATTAAATATGAGGTAAATAAAATTAATTTTTAAAATTAAATATTAGAGAAAATACTCGGTATTCAATAAGAAATAATAATTAAATAAATAAATTATTTGTGTGATCGACTCCGTAAGCCTATCAAAAACAAAGATGATAATGATGGTGACGACACATATTACTTAAGATAATATAATAATAAAAAAAATAATTTATGTGCCCGACTTTACCTAAGCGGTGATAGAACAAGGATGATAATAATAATGGTGATGACAATCACGTGATTTCAGGAACTTGTGTGGTAGGAAAGAAAAAGATTGTTGGGTGAAAAAAAAAAAAAATCATATAAAAAACGAACCAAAGGTTTGCTTTCTTGAAAAATTTATACAACATATTTGAATTTCTTGATCTTTCTAAAATAAAGAGTTCATGCATACAAGTTTTAGCACTTCCAATATTGCTGTTGAAAAATCAACATGCACGATGTCCATCAATAAATGATCGTAGTGTAAATCTACCGCAATAATAGTTGGGGTTTAAATAGGCTTCTTGACTTGACTTGATATATAAATGCTATTTAATTGTTAGTAGTTGGTAAATAAGTATAAGGCCATTGATTTTAGTTTACCTATTGTTCTTTGTATTATTGTACATGAATGACATTGCAACCACCTGTTAGTTTCCTAATCTTTGTCACTAGAATATTTTAAGAATATTTAGATATATATATACCTATATGTATGTATATGTGTATGTATATAACCAAATCCATTTTATATAACATTAGGATTTCTAAGATGGTATGTAAATCAAGTGCATACAATTAGATCCAAACAAATTGGACCTATGAGACCTTGTGCTATCAATTCTGAAGGGCCAGGGGTTCATAAAAATGGCTCCAATTAAGTAGTCATTGACTATGATCTAACTTAACCATATGAGAAAATGATGTATGAAAATGTATGGGAGAGCATACTAAGATAAACAGGACAACCTATTTGTTTGTGATTTATCAAGAAACATTATCAATGAAGAATGTGACACTATGTGCCACATTAAAAGGTTGGGTCTTGTATGGGCTGGTATTCTTTGACTTTGTCTTTCCATCTCCATATTTTCTTTATTTTATTATTATTTTTTTAAGATGTCATAAAAAAATGTGAAAGAAATGTCTACATTGCAGGTAAAAGATTAATTAATTGAACAATGATCGCATAAAACAGTGCCTCAAGGTTCACAAATGGCCAAATGTTTATTCCAGAAGCCCTATTATACTTTAGTTGTTTGATCAAGAAATAGATTTTCACTTTACAGATGAAGAAGGAATCCGCTTGCTTAAAATTTTCCATCTCAACTAATTTCATTATGAAAAATGTTTTTAAGAACTACTCATTTGACCGAAATGTTTAGTCAAGGATATCTAGACCCTTGAATTAATCAGGTTAGACTCCAACCAAGTTTATTCACACCTAATTGAATAAACAACTTAGATGGACATTTTGTAATAACACTCACACTCACTCTACCCAGATACCATATGTCTGTTTTTTCCTTCTTCGGTCCAAAAAATTTCCAAAAAGCTATCCATTCTGATACTACTCTATAATAAACATGCTTAATTTTAGAATTTTAATGAATTTACGATCATTACGTTTTAAAAATACATTGTATTGTAAAAAGATGTTAAACCTTACATATAGTGAGGTAATTCATCCCTTGTCTTGCACCCGCCCTTATCATAACATCCAACAGAAGTCGTCACACATTTAGGCCAAATTGGTGGGTGTATAAAACACTTTGCGTTTAGTATTGTTGCAGATGTTTGAAATTAATAAAAGTTTTGGGGTTCATGAAATTGTAAGTGGACTAATTATTTGGATTTCCAAGACAGCCCTAACATGTCCTAAAAAATTGATACGATTCGTTGCTTGCATTTGATGAAAACGTTAAAGTGCATCATCACTATCTTTAGGGTAACAGCCTTTTTAGATTTGGCTAGTTGCCCGTTGAAAAGACATTTGGCCCTTGGCTAGTTACCCTTTAAAAAAGACGTGTGGCTTTCAATTGCTCCGTTTCTACTAAATTAATATGCCACTTTTACACTAACACTAAGCTCTATGTAATTTCTTTTTATATAATATTTTACTCATCAATTTTTAATAATAAGACAACATTTTATTGATTTGACCTAATTACTCATAATCCAATAACTTACTCAACCTCCAACTAAACATTTACCAAATACAACAAAATAAAAAATTATTTTAGAGAAAAATATTTTACATCAGTGCGAACGAAGCTTAAAAATTATTTATAGATTCTTTTTACTATAACGGTTGTTAAACAATAGGTTTTTTTGTAGATATTGTTAGTAATTTTAAAATTTTCAAAGTACAAATTTGTTTTTGTAATTTGTATAATCAATGTAAAGACATTATTGCTCTTCGTCAGTCATGTACACTTCTGTTTTCTTTATGCAATTAACAATGTCAAAACTTAAAAAAGAAGGTGCTTGATGTAGTTTTAAAAATGAAAGAGAAGGTTTTTGTAATTTAACAAATTTCAAAGGAGGTCAAATCCTAATATTTTCTTGTCCCTTGTCATAAAAAGTTTTGTTCCACTTACAGCATATTGAAAACAAATTCTACATAAGAATTTGTGTAAGAACCCTTATTTACATGAAATTGTTATAAACTTGTGTAATAAGTAATAAATTATGAAAAAAAAAAAAAAAATCATTTCATATAATTTCAAGGAGTTTGTCTAACCCAAAAAGACTTGAACCTGGTACATTATGCAAAATCAAGTTTCATAATCTATTCTTTTTAGATGCAAATAATTTTTTAAGGATCATGTCTACTTCGAATTTTATTCGATTTGTACGGGAAACATTTTACACATGTCTAACGAATTAGTTGAGGCAAAAGTCCTGAAAAAAAAAATATATATATATATATATATATATATATATGAATGTAATTTTGTCTATACGGGGTAAAATAAAGAATCAAAACTATAGGTGGCTAGAAATGGATGGGGAACCACATGTACTATGTGAACCACCAAAATATCTTTGAAGCAAAGCTATGGTAGCTAGCTTTTAGAAAGCTGGCTAGCCCAATCATGTTAATTTTTGTGGGAAGCGGATCATATGAGATCTCTACTTCTGAGCTGTCCTCACTAAAATGATGATATGACAAGACAAACACAGGTTGCAGATCCATCTTTAAAAGTGGTGTTGCCAATCGTTCACATGTTTTCAGCGCGCGCGCACAGAGATGATTGGATTATGAGTCGTTGGATGAATTCAAAGAAATGTTGTAATGCAAATCCAAATCAAGGCTTGTACTATATATGTTGTTACTCAATCGATGGACCGCACACGTGCATAGGAAATGTTTCAAAATCAAATTTATTTTTTTTAAATATTTAAAAAATTAAGATTAAAATACAACAATGCTTTTTGAAATTTGTCAAAAGGATACTTAAATAAAATTTACCTGTTTTTGAGACAATGACACTCTTTTAAAGAAATTCCATCCAAACAAGGCATTAAATCATATGAAAAACTAAATTACCCCTTAATATTAAATTCAAATTTATTACAAAATATCACTTCTGTTAAAATGATGCAATTATCCTTAAAAGTTTAGGGCCACAGATTAATGCCACTTGGCACCAAATTAACAGCCTGTGAATTGCAAAATATGTTTTTTTTTTTTTACCAAAATTTTGTTCCTATTTTATTTACTATGTTATCTATTAATTTACAAAAAAATATTGGATTTTTTTTTTTAACAAAAATTTCGTTCATGTTTTCTTTACTAAAATGGGGTTTCTTTACAAAAAAAAAAAAAAAAAAATGTAAATAAAATATGGGGTTTTCTTTATGCGGTTTTCTAAAAATATGGGGTTTTCTTTATTTTCTTTAGAAGAAAATTTTGTTCCTGTTTTCTTTACTAATATGTGGTTTTCTTTATTCCTGTTTTTTTTTTTCTTTTTTAATTTTAAATCAAAATTTTGTTATTTTGAGAAATTATGGCGGAATGAAATTATTATTATTTTTTTTTTAGTAAATGGGGGTTATCAATTTTGTTATTATCATAAAAACAGAATGGAAAATAACTAAATAATTAAAATAACGAATCCAATGACGGCTACACAACGAAGTAACACCTAGTAGCATCAATTAGCTCTTGAAAGATGTCATTAAGAGGTTGGATAACTCATCCATAATCTCTCATAATTTTTTTAAGGCAAAATTGAGCAACATTGACAGATATAAGTAGCACCCATAGACACCCTTTTAGAATGGTCAAACTTTCTTCTTTTTGTAAGAAATTGAAAATTTATTACAACAAAAGAAATATGCAATTTTTTTATTTTGAGAAATTGTGGGTTATTCATTTTGTTATTTTGAGAAATTGTGGCAAAATGAAAACAAATGGATATTTTTTTTTCAGAAAATTTGTTTTTAATTCACACATGAGTACTTTTGTCCAATTTATTAATCTGTTTCAGGGATGTGTATATATACACACACACACACACATATATATATATATATATAGTCTATATTCCTAACATTGCGATGGTTTGTTCATAAGGAGTAGTTTCGTCCAATCTATTAACTTGTAAAATTAAAAAGGTCAACTAAATGGTCAAAGGATAATTTAGTCAATTTTTCAGTTGACTCGAAAAAACTGATAACTTTCATTTGAATGTCTTTTTGGCAAACCTCAGGAGGTAGGTGATGTTATACTTTATCAAAAAATTAAATGGTATTTAAATTTATTAATTTCTTATTTTATAATACGAACAAAAAGTTCCAATTACTGAAAGGAGATTTGGAGTTTCGTTTTGTCACAAAAGTTTGTTCTCTAATTTTAATTATTAATTACATAATCAAGCGATATGAGCCGTCCAACCGAAAAAGGTGATTAATAAGAAGTGCAACTCGTAAGTCATAACCAAAGCTTAATGGCTAATTACAATATTTAAAGCACACGTGGTTCGGCCTGTTTGGGCCTTATAAAAAGGCTTGAGGTGGTGGGCCTATTTTTAAGACCGGCAAACAGAAGCGAATATAAAAAAATCTACCAAATTCAGAATTTGAAGGTTCTAACAATTACAGATGCCTCAATAGTCCAGTAAGTTAGTACATTTGGTAAATTTTGGAATATCAAATTTCGACTTTCTGTATCTACTAATTTAACTTATAACACTCCTTGTCTCGTAAAAAAAAGAAAAAAAGTTCTAACAATCAAATTACATTTGATTCAAAAGCTAATTGTCCTTGTCAACAAATATAAGGTTTCTATTAATTAGTAGATACAGAAAGTCGAAATTTGATATTCCAAAATTTACCAAATGTACTAACTTATAACCCTCCTTGTCTCGTAAAAAAAAGAAAAAAAGTTCTAACAATCAAATTACATTTGATTCAAAAGCTAATTGTCCTTGTCAACAAATATAAGGTTTCCATTAATTCACCTTCTTTTTCCTCAATAACCAATATTTTTTTACTAATTGAAATACACCTTTTCCCTTTTCATTTTTTGTTTTCTGTTTTGCACCTAAGTTTATATTTATTTTATTTATTAAAAAAACAAATTGATAATATTTTGACAAAAAAAAAAAGTACTTATGTTCTAATAAGCTCAAGGGCTTAAAAATTTAAGTACTCCATTAATTTTATATATTATATTTGAAGACGACAAATAACAATTCCTCTGTAGCACTTTGGAATTCCCATCAATTTGTTTGAAATTCTGGAATCTGGGTTTAAATCCCCGCAACGGAACATAGTTGGACTAAATTTTTCCTTCTTTGGTTCAAATATAGGTGGAACTAGCCAACTAAAGCTCAATGTCCAAATATTTATTTATTTTATTATTATTATTTTTTTTCTATCACTCAATGTCTAAACTTGAATATCAAACTTCTACTCTAAAGTTGTCAATGAATTACAACTTTTTGGTAATGAATTATGATATACGCATTGAAAGAAAAAAATAATAGTAATAAAAAAAGGGTAGTTTTTTTTTTTTTTTTTTTCGGAAAAAAGAGGAAGAGATAGTGGTTATCATACTTATTTTTATGTTTTATTGTTTCCTCCCCTTCACTTTCCCTTCTCTGTCATTCTTTTCCTTTCCCTCCTTGAAAAAGAGTGGGTTTTATCTTTCTGATATCCTATACGTGCCCGGAGGGCAATAACCACACTTCAGATTACAGAGTCCACGGACAGCTCCAGAGCATATCTCTACACCCAGAAAATGCAAACCTGCAACGTAGTTTCACCTTCTTCTCTGTAAGCACTTTGGGCTATGCATTCCATAGTTCAGATAAAATTGTATGAATTCATGTCCATTTGATTCTGTTTAAAAGGGACAATTCTTAACATGAGACCCCCTTTATTTACTCGTCACATACTTTCACCTGGAAATACTTTTCTTGGTTTTTTTTACTATGTTGCAAATTTAGGGTTTTTTCTCTCTCCTCTATATTATTGTTTGATTGTCCATGGTGTTCAGTGTCTGTAACTTCTGGGTTTTTGGCGATCAGTCAACCTGCTCAATTCAAGTAAAGTTGAATTATTTATTATTATTTTTTTATAGAGAAATAACGACATTGCACTTCATATTTTGCAGATACCCTATTGCATTTTCTGATTGCCATGGTCAAGTTTCGAATCAATTACATTTTCCTTGCAGTCTAAACTCTGGTTTTGCAAGAGGTCTGTACATTCTTATGGATATATTAATTGAATTGCATTGCTACGAGTTTTGTATTTACTGAAAGAATTGGAAAAAAGAAAAAAAGAAATTAAGCTATTTATTCTGTTTGGTGAAGAGGGTGGGCCTTGGGGCAATGGTAATGTTGCTCCATTGTGAACAGCCTCTCTGCATGCGGGGTTAAGGCTGCGTACAACCGACCCTTCCCCCGCAATGGCGGGAGCCTTGTGCACTGGGCTAGCCCATTCTGCTTGTTGAACTTTAAAATTACTCATTAGGATGGAAATTTTGAAGTAACATATATTTTAATAATTCATAGTCTCCATTTTTATTTAGTTATGCATTTTGCCAAAGCAGGGGTGGAGTTGCATAATGCGATCAATTATTTGGAAAATGAATGGGGTTCCGTCTCGGGAGGGGTGGACTGGACATAGACCTAACATTTGATACTATTTTGCACAAATTCGCTGCTATCAAACTTTTACCACTATTCCAAGTAATGAAGTCCTACTGAATATTGCACATTGGGGAGTCAATATTTGATAGTGAAAAGTTCCAGAAAGAATTTTAAAAAATATCAACTAAGTTCAGAATATCTTTGTTTCAACTCAAGTCTACTAGACTTTTATTTCGCAATACTAAACACACCAAACCCATTGTAGCACAATGGTGCAGTTTTGGCATTACATGTAAAAGCGACAGGTGGCGTTAAGGGTTTGATTTTTGTCATTGGCAAAACAAGAAAAAAGAAAAGAAGAAAACATACATCAATGCATAGAATAATTACATAAACAAGTAAGAAAAAAATAAGAAAGAAGATAAAGCGGGAGACAGAGGAAATAATTACAAGTTCTCACCGTACTAGTAGTCATATTAATTCAACTGATAAAGGTAAGTGAAACTCTAACTGCTATGGTAGTAGTAAATTTTTTTTTTTGCTAATTCTCTGTTTTCTTAGTGTGATCCTTCTTGTATCTCTTGTAGGTTTGTATAGCTTCTTTTCCCTTGAATCCAATCTAGGTTAAAATAAAAAATATCATTCCTGGGTTTAGTTCAGAAAACCCTATTGAACTATATGTTTTCTTCATCCTGCCCCCTTGGTGCATTTTGCTATGATGTTACCATTACCTTTTTGTATGGGAAATTGACAACAAGCGAGGCTTTTAACTCCATATCCAATAGTTCAGATGTTAACTCGACAAACAAAAATCATAACGCGGGGGGGGGGGGGGGGTGTTGGGGGGGTTCTGTTTGTTTGGTGGTGGGGAGTATATAGTTCAGTTTTGTTGTTGTTATTTGTGTGATTTACCATTAAATATATATATATATTTGTTGATTATGTGAAATCAATTAGTTTTTACTTGGATTTGCCTTTTCGATGCATGATCCTAGTTTGTAAAGTATCATTGAGAATGTGTGCTGCATGAAAGCATCCCAAAACTTTGTGCATTAGACTGTTTTAAACTTCTAACATCATACAATTTCCTGTTCTATATCCTCTGTCTTCAGTTTGTAAAGTCATGCAAAATGTTTGAATTGCCTTATTTAAGATTACCACCTGCATATTTATCTCTCTCTCTCATCTATCTATTTATCTCTCCATGTTGCATCCAAGCATCTGCGTCAATGGCTTCACTTGCTCCTTGTTACTACAGTTACCTTGTTATTGAACTTCACTTAATTGGATGCATCACTTTTACGCAAGTTTTGATAGGAAGGTCAAGCTACAGGAAAAATGGAAAAAAAAAGAAGAAGCACTAGAAGTATGGGAAATTTTTAATTTTATGATTCCAAAATTTTGACAATTGTTCTTATCAAATTGTCATCATCTTTACAGGAAGCAGAAACCTTAAGATTTCTCAATTGAAGGCTGGATTTTGGGAATCTATCAGATCTGGGTAATTGGAGTTAGCTCTTTTTTCTTTCTGCTTTGCATTATGATATATTTCTAAAATTTTTGTATTGAATGAGCTTCCAGCTGATGCATTATAGAAACCGTCATAACTATAAACGTTTAAAAATAAATATTGCCTGTTAAAAAGTTTTAGTAAAAAGATCATGATTATTAGTGGTCTATCTGGCCACTTTAAAATAAAGTTACCTTCAGAATCCATCAATTATTTAAAATGGACTGATATTAATTCATATTCATTTACATATATTGATTGCAGTATTTAAGAAAAACACAATTGACAATACAAAAAAGTATATAATAGACCAGTGGCATGCTATTAGGTAATAATGCAACCCCAGTTGGGCTAGGCCCTTGGTGGTCAAGCGTTTTATGAAGTGTTTTTGCAACATATGGGTGTTGGTGGCTTTTATGAACTGGAGAAAAAAGATATGCCTGTGCATTTGTGGTTGTCTTGTTGTGAGACATGACTCCCCTGACTTCTTTTGTTGAGTTACTAATGGAAAATACTGCTTTTGTAGATTCTTTTATATCTTGTACCATACTTAGGGAATTTGTATAGCAAGCATTGACATCATCTTCCCCGAACTTGTGTGTAACCTGTGTAGTGGACCCCTTTGCATGGAATTCTGTATCTAAATATGTCATGTTTATGGGGGTCAAATTTCAATATTTTAGTATTTTACAAATACATTATTGCTACTTAGTGGAGTTTGCAACAGTGAGGTACCATTCCTCGAATATCTTTGGATACTATGGTGAAGAATGAGTGAGAAGGATGCACTCCTACAATAAAAAGGATCCATTTTTCACTGTTTATTACTGAGTTTGGAGGCCAGAGAATAAAGGCAGAAATGGGTTTAAGGGTTTTTGAAGTGTGTAAGGAAAGAGAAGGTTTTGTGGCTTTGGTTACGCAAGGAAAAGGAAAGTTGGGGACGATTTTGGGTGCTGTGAACAGCACCTGTTAACAGTAACTTTGGCTGTTTATGATTCTGTTAGTGTATTGTTGAATGAAAAAAAAAGTGAAAAGGGTTAAGCTTGTAAAATATAAAACAACATCTGATTTTTCATAGGCTTACAAAAGTAAAAAAAATTAAGCAAAAGAAGAAGAAAAAGCTAGCAATTACACCTAGGTATCCTTATAAATTATTTCTTCTAAGGCTGGAGGTTACATTGCACCACACAATTCCCATAAAAAAGCTTCAATATCTTTGAGAAGTTTTCTTAACTGATCTCTATTGAACTAAAAGAATATATATATCTTAGTAGATTGCTGGATTTTTCCTACTCCTACAAAAAAATTGACTTGAAAATTAAAAACTTAATATTTTGACTCACTAAACCTATCTAAAGATTCTAAACCAAATAAAGACCATATAGAAAGATATAATAATATAACTTGAATCAGAAAATGACCCACGACATGACGCAGAATATGACATATGGACCCTACTACAATCGATGTCTAGAAAATCTAAAATGCTATGGACTCTTAAAATTGAATAGACCATTAAAAAAGCTGCACATCTTATTTTATATGAAAGTGAAATAACACAAAAGAAAGCTCAAAATGGCCGAAAAATAAAATTATGCAAGGTCCCAAATGGCCCCCATTGAAATCCAACCAATTTTCACAATTTCCTCGTCTCTAAAGTTGCTCTTTCCCGAGCTTGCTATTTTCTGCATCATGATATTTTCCTCTCAGTTGATTTATAATGCTGAGCAATTATCTGGCTCTTTTGTGCCTTCCTCTTAAACTAATTTATTAGTTTTATCTTCACCTATAAATCATACTGCAATATTGCCATCTGCCATCCTCCCAGTTGCTTGCTCATCCACCTGTGAATTAGCTATAAATCCAATGGCCTTAACTTGCTTCTTGTTGCAGATTTGTGAAGAACAATACTACACAGGTTATTGATCCACCCTCTACTCTTGAAGAAGAGGAAGAACCATTACCTGAGGAGTTTGTTCTAATCGAAAAGACCCAACCAGATGGAACAGTTGAGCAAATTATATTTTCGTCAGGTGGAGATGTTGATGTGTATGATCTCCAAGCCTTATGCGATAAGGTGCGTGCTTCAGGATCTTCCAGCAAATGCATGCATGGCTTGAATATTCAATGCCTTTTAAGTGCATTATTATGTATATATGTGCACCTCAACATATCAGTATGAGACTTGGTACAGTTATGCAGCTGATAGGTGTATCTTTGGTTTTTTTTGCTACACTTGGTTGTTTGGGATAAAACTCTCTTTATCAGTTGTCCAGTTATCAAAGCCCTTTCACTACCTTGCAGGATATCAGTTGAGAAGTCCTTTTTTGCTAGAGTTGTCTTTATTAATCTGGTAAAGAATCATTTGTTGGTCCTTGAAATCGTAGGTTATTGCTAAATTTTAAAGGTTCAGTTAGTTATATTTACTCTTTCCTCTATTCTATTATCAATTTCAGTGACCATTTTTTGTTGTACTAGTTTCATTTACTTATTACTTTCTTTTTGTGAAAGTTGAGCCATTAAAATGCATTACATTAACAGGTGGGATGGCCAAGGAGACCACTGTCAAAACTAGCCGCTGCTTTAAAAAACAGCTACATGGTAGCCACTTTGCATTCCGTAAGGCAGTCACCAGGAGCAGGTACTTGAGAAATATGACTGACTTTGTCATGGATTTCTTTCATTTCATTATAATTGGTCCTCCAAAGCTGTCTTTTATGTTTGTTCATGCGTAAAAAAAAAAAAACTAATTACAACTGAGTTATGCTTTTTTTTAAAAAAAATAAATGATGAACATCTTAGTGTACTTGAAGAAGTTGCTTGGCAGAAGGGAATTACCAAAAGAAACTTATAGGCATGGCTCGTGCTACATCAGATCACGCCTTCAATGCTACTATCTGGGATGTCCTTGTAGATCCTCAATATCAGGTATTCTTTGTTTCCTGTGCGTGGACAAGTTGCTGGTGGTAGTCTGTAGAAAGATACAACTTGCAACAAAACTGAAAAGCCATTGAAGGACAATAAATACTGTTTTTGCTGTCAATCCTGGCTTTCCTGGGTACTTGGGAGATGGCTCCCTAAACAAATTTAAGCATATTATTGGAGTGTTTTTATACTTCTAATAGTTGGTATAACAGTTATGCTTGATTGTATAAATATAATAGCCTTTAGACTACGTTAGAATTCTAAGCAGCCCATGTAAGGAGTATCGGGAAGAGTTAGCCATGGTATGACTATGAGTTGCATGTGGGATGATGGTATTGTATTTACTTACCTCTCCCTTTAAGAATTTATTAAAATAAAACTTGTATTCAACTTCCCGCAAGTATGCAAACATGATGGTTGTGATACTTGATGAATTAAATATTGGGTTTATACCAGTTCGGTCTGAATTTATAAACATATGTTTGAATGCATACTCATATCCAATTTGAGTTCAAGTTAATTATGCTGATCAGATACTTTCTTTATTATCTTTGATTGCCTGTGCAAGTCGAAACCGATGTATTCTGATACGTAGTTTTGGTTTGGATCAATGTTTAGGCAAACCGGCTTGTGGGTCAAAAAGGTTCAGCAATTTCTAAGTAAAGACCAGCTTAGGTGTGTTAACGTCCACCCAATTAATAGTGTTCAATACAACTTAGCCTCCAGCTTTGAGGTTCTCTTACATTTTTTTCCCTGTACATTTCTACAATTCGGAATAGACGTTTGCTTTTTGTTAGATATGTGGAATTTCCAAATGATGATTATAACTCTGGGTGCATTTTGAAACAACTTTAATGAAGTCTGGCTTCAAATGGCCCACTAGGTAAAGTATTACTAGCTTGATTTTGGGGTCTTTAATTTAAGTTTAGCATGAAAATTCTTGGGAAATGTTTTTTTTATATTGAAATTGCACTTTTTTGTTGGTCACAGATGGCCTTTTAAAATTCCAATTTCTACAGTCAGAAGTTACTTTTACATTTACTCAGATTAGCATTCTAGTGTTTTTGTTAAATAGCCAATATATAGATCTACAAATCTCCTTGTTTCCAAGACCTATATAAACTATATTAATAGAAGTTAGTGTTCTTTGTATTTTCTTTGATGTCCACCTCTGTATTAGTATGTGGACATCAATATCACACTTATTGCGACTAGCCATTGCTTATGACACGATCAGAACCCATGTAGGATACCTTTCTAGTATATATTGTGGTTTGGGATATATCATATAAATAATGGCCTGGGTTGGAGCCTATAAGACTCATCTAACTATTGAATAGGCAATTTACTCAAGTCTCACCAAGTATAGATTGCTGGCTATTGGGTCCCGAGACAACTTTGTTTTAGTAGTGTTAATCAAGGAATGCTTTAACAAATTATTCATATTTGTTGGGTGGACTGGAAAGGAGTAAAGGGAAATAAAATGGCAGTTTTTAGAAATTGACTCCACATGCCGTTGTACCTGTGCATGTGCGTCATCTCGAATTATACACATCACTTTGATTTCATTCAAGCTACTACTTTGTTTTCTAATAGTTCTATTGACATCCAGGGCCAAGGTCTTGGAAAGGCTCTTGTTGAGAAGATTATAAGGGCTCTTCTGCAGAGGGACATTGGCAATATTACACTCTTCGCGGATAGTCAAGGTACAGCCTCTATAAATCTGATCCTTAATTCATCACAATGGACCTATTTGTACAGTCAAGAACGATCAGCTTTTAAGTCAAAAAGGATATATTAGATATATCTACTGATTACAAAAATGTCATCCTTTTTACTGGTCTACCTCTGTCTTGGTGGCTTTGGGTTTTAACTCCCAAGCCTCAGGTCAAGGTTTCAAGATTGTTAGACAGAAGAAAGAAAAAAAATAATGTCATTTTTTTTTTCCTGCATCGTATTTCTTGAACAATAAGTACTAAAAAAAGCCTTTTGTCCACTTAGATGTCCACAATGACTCGGTTACTAGTAACAAACTAAAGCTTTAAAATTCACTTTGTTTTGGTACATTGTCGTTGCAGTTGTGGATTTCTATCAGAATCTAGGTTTCAAGCCTGACCCAGAAGGCATTAAAGGTATGTTTTGGTACCCAAGGTATTAGTGGTAACTCCAATGTGAACTAGTTTTGCTAATGCTAGTGGCTACCCTGGTTCATGCTGCAAAATTAATTGATGGTGGGGCATTGATGGGAGATCTGTATGTATATTAATGATAATCATGTATAAAGTTTCTGACATACATATAATATTGAAGCTTGAAATGAGTGCTGGAGCCATTTTGTATTTTAACAGGGATCATGTTTTCTAGCATCTGAAACATTCGAATTTTTGTTGATAACTTTCATTTACATGGCATCTGGTGCTAATTTAGGGTTCTTGGATCAGTACTCCTGTACTTAGTTACCTTGGACCATGTAATAATTATATTGTTTCAATGTAATTTTTCATTTACAAATTGTATAATTTTGGTACTGATGTAGATAGAATAATTTTTATGCTCTTGGAATAATAAAATGTTCTTAAAATTTTTATACTCCTCTTATTTCTCTTAAAATGTTATTTGAGCATTTTCGAAAAGAAAAGAAAAAAAAAAAAAAAAATTTGTTCTTTTGAGGTGAAAATGCTCAGTAATATATTGCTAAGCAAAACACAAGGAGGCACTAAAAATCTGCCTGAATTCTAGGAGAAATTTTAGATAGTTCCGACCAATTATTATTGGACACGAAAGCAAAAAGCTGGAAAAAAACTTACACATATCTGACACAATTATTTACTACATTTGGTTGGAGGGATAAAAAAATGGATGGAAGGAAGAAGGGGAGGATAGGGTGAGGCATTCTTAGGGACGGAAGATGTTTCTCTTACTTTTTGTTTTTGTTTGGTTGAATAGAATGAACAGTAAAAAAGATGGATAGGATAGAGTAACATATTTTTTCTTGTTTGGTTGGAAGGGAGGAAAATAGAGTATTTATAGTCTTTTTACTAATATACTCTTATTATATACAGTTATAAAAATTAAATACCCTTTTCAAATTTTTAGAAAGGTCAAAAATATAAATTACTTAATAATTGTTAATTATCTTTTTTTTTTTCCTTCCAATTTTGGGCCGATAGAAAATTACAAAGGATGGATGTTTCATCTCTCAATGCTTCTTCCCTCTCCTAACAAGAAAACATTATTCTATCTCTCCTTAATCCTTCCCTTCAACCAAACATGGCATTCGTTTTCAATGGCGATTGCAATTAGAGTGGTTAGCATGTGATCTCAGGCCTGTAGTTAGCATACTACTTCAAATGCAATTGTTTATGCACCGATATCGAGTAATCTCGATATAATTGCACAACTATTCTTTGTTATGACAAGAGGCATCTTGTCATGAGATTATTATTATTAGGGAAAATTACATATAAATGGAGTCAAAGTTTCATATTTACTTAGAGACTGAGTCAAAGTTCCATATATTTCTAAAATGGATTGCTGAGGTGGCACATGGTTTTTTACTGTTTAAAAAATTGTGGTGCCTAAAATGCCCTTCCCTAATAAAAAGTAGTACCTTCAGTTCAAAAAAGTAGTACCTTCAGTTCAAAAAAGTAGTACCTTTGGAGAAAAAGTAGTACCTTCGCGAGTGTTTAAAAAACATGGTACCTGGACGCTAAAAAGTAGTACCTTCAGTTCAAAAAAGTAGTACATTCGAAAAAAAAGTAGTACCTTCGCGGAAGGGTATTTTAGGCATTACAATTTCTAAACAGTAAAAAATCATGTGCCACCTCAGCAATCCATTTTAGAGAAATATGGAATTTTGACTCAGCCTCTAAGTAAATATGGAACTTTAACTCTATTTATATGTAATTTTTCCTTATTATTATTATTTTTTTATATTTAAACACGAAATTGAGATAATTTTTTTTAATGAATCTTCAATTAAGTATTGAAATAAGGAGAGCTCCACTCAACAGGGACTAGGAAAATTAGATAGGATAGTTTTTTTATTATTAATCTGTTAGTAATTTAAAAGAAATGATTTTGAAAAACATTACTCCAGCATTATCCTTCTTTTGACTAGTCTGTGAAATGATCTTATTCTACTTGGGTTTTCAAGAACGAAAAAGACACTTACCTTACATTTTATTTTTTTTACGCTGTCAATCAATTTCATTCGATATAAATATCTCAATGTCATTCGATATACAGTAAATATGAAACATATACAATTTATTAAGGAAAATTCTGTGAAGAAAGCGTCATTAGTGAACGCGCACCGTCATCCCTTTGAATTCAAAGGTTATATATAATTTAAAATATATAATCTTGAATTCAAAGGTTATATATATATATTTTAAAATATATAATAAGAAAATAATGAATTTATCTAGAAAGAAACTGATTAGGGAAAAAGTTTGTGTCTGAACGGATGGAACAGATTCTCTCCTTGTATGTTGTTGTTTGACAAGGCATATCGGTTGATAGCCTTCGTTCCAACTAGTCCTACAGTCTGCTGCTTTCTTGAAACTAAAAATATGATAATTATAACGACAAACTACAATGATCTCCTTTGAGATTTGGCATATTGTAAGTAAATATGAGGTTTGCATATTTTTTGCCATGCGTTCTCATGAGGTTTGCCTCATTTTGCAAAGACTTCCCTTGGTACAAAAATTGATACTCTTTGTCAGAAAATTTAGTTGAACGGACCAAAATGCCCTTCAAAAAAATGGCAAAGACCCTAATACCCTTAATGTGTTATTAAATTACAAAAAAAAATATTCTAAGAGACAAAATTGACCTTCTCTCTCTCCCTTTCCTTTCTCTCTCCATTCACCCACCACCACCACCACTAACTCCATTGCCATTTCCAAACCCAGACCCTTACAAGATTCAATTAAGCTTCAAAATGCGTTGGTGTTGGTGGTGGCAAGTGTATTGGTGGTAACTCCAAATTTAATAGATTACTTTCCCTAAACTATATATATATATATATAACTTTGGATATACATATATACGCACTGGTAGGAAGTTGAAGGAACCCCACTTGTAGGAAATTAAACAAACCTTAATGAAGTTTGAAACCCACTAAGCACCATAACCATTACCACCACCACCAAGCACTATCACCTTTACTGCCTCCTCTACAATCACAGCCACCACCATCATTAATTTCTTTCTTTTTTTAATTTTAAGCTTGATTCAAATCTGTCAGTTTTAAGGCATTTGAATCTGAAGATATGAATTTTTTTTTGTTCCTCCACCCTTGAAATTTAAAGGCCTCTACATCACCTGTACGGAAGAACATCATTGATCAGGCTGGTAAACAGAGATGACGCGCCAACTACTTGGTGGGTCCTAATCTGGCTTTGCTTCGTCTCCGTCGTCAGCTCCGGCATCTTCAACCTCATCGGAAAATAAGCTCACAACACTGTCGGACCCTCTCTGTGCTGCTCTCGTACGCCGCCTCTGCCTCTCTGCGCTGTGCTATTTGTATTTTCCTACGCCGAATTTGTGATCTAAATTCCCATCACATATGGGTCTTTCTCGTATGATTTCGTTGCATTCATCGTTGCAGGTAAGTTTCTTTTGGAGTCTATAATTGTTGATCAGCATTTGGCAGCAATTTGTGGAGGTAGAGAGAAGAAGAGAGATGGTGGGATGGTGGTGTGGTGGTTGCTGCGGCGGCCATGGAGTGGTTGGAAAGAAAACAAAATCTGACATAAAAGAGAGAAAATAGTGGGGTTGCAAAATAGTGTAAAGGGCAAAATTGTCATTTGACTTACTCAAATATTTTGACATTTTTAGTAATATAATAATGAGGGTAGATAAGTAAATTTACAACAAAATCTGACTTGGGGAGGTGTTTGCAAAAATATGGCAAACTTCAGATTTAGTTACATATAGTCCAAACCTCAAACCTCATGGGAGATCATTGTAATTTGCCCTAATTATAATACAATAATGTCAGTTAAGTTAAGTTACACTGCCTTTGGTTATAAAATAATGCTAAAAATATTTTGATATTTTGTAGAGAATAACTATTATTTATTTTAAATAATGCATATTTATAGTATATTACTTATTATACATGTCAAATTACTCTTTTATCCTATTAACAGAATAAATTTCTCTCTCAAACCCTCACCCTTCCTTAGTGTAAATTTATTTTCTTCAAAATTCACACGTTTAATTGACCCATGGTGGAATTCACATGGTGGAATCGAAACCAATTTACACGAATGAGACGAAATGTAAAACCCACACCAAATTATTAACTTCCAACATCACGTAAAGATACCAAGGCTGACACAAAGCCAAAGACCCATTTGTCTTCTTCCACCACGAATCCATCTCTTCCGGTGAATCACCACCACCATTTAATTTTCAATCAAATTCCCATATTCACCATCACGATCTAACACAAACAAACTCAAAAAACCCAAAGTTTCCACTATTCAAAAAAAAATTGCAAAGTCTCCACTTGAATCACATAAAGCGGGAGCGAGAGTGAATTCGAGAGCGGGAACATGAAAACGGCAAAATAAAGTAAAAAACAATGAGAATGGGAGTAAGAGCACTTGCGGAGGGTGAAAGTGAGAGCACGCTCGGAGCGTGAGACCAATATTCTTTGAGAAAAATTGTTTGACTTAGGTATTCACCCAAATCAAATGTCAGCAGATTTGAAAAAAACAAAACGCGTTCATACATGTGACAGAACGCGTCGAATCACGTTGTGTTCGGAATCTGAAAATCCATCAAAAGAGTTGATTGCTGGTCTCACAAGGCCTTAGCATGTTCTGCGACACTAGTGTTTGGTCTTCTTTCACTGGTTGATTAGTGATCTCCATGGTAGAAAGAGAAATCTAGAGAGGGAGATTTGATTTTTGTGTTAGAATGGTAATACGATAAAAGAGTAATTATACACACTAACAACATTTTTTAGAAAAATTGACAATAGAAGTAATTAGGTGTTAAGACACGCAAGTATACGTGTCCATCAATCCTAGCGACATTTCCTAGAAAAATTGACAATAAAAGTAATTAGATGCTAAGATACACAATTATATGTGTCCATCAATCAAGATTGTGATTGGACTAACAATCGCATGTGACTCTGGTTAACACCTTTCATTGTTAAAAGATAATGAAATGATCTCCTTGGTTGTTATTTTTTTGTCTATAGTTTTCAATGTGTGTAATTAATGGCCCTGCAAATCCCACATTAACGGTTCATGGTAGTGTTGGGACAACAGAGTCTACATTTACATTAAATTCATTGCCCCAGCAATTGTCCCACTCTTGTATCATGGTATTGAAGGTTCATTTGATTTTTCGTAGTCTACAATGTTGTTATCACTGTCAAGTGGGTTCTCTCTAACATCATAATAAATGTATTTTAACAGATTCCAAGTACTCAATATCTGTATTATGTCGTCACCATCCTTTTCCAACACGTGTGCTTTATCTTTTCGAATTTGTCAGGAAAAAAAAAAAATAATAATTAATTCTCAAATTTGTCCAATATCAGCCGACCCGAATCAGCATAAACAGCAACAGTGGAAGTTTTTAAAAAGGTGATATTGGATCCCTCCATTTTGCCAACTTGAGCTCCAAGGGGGGCGGGGCTTCAACTTGTATATATATGTTTAAAAAAATCTAAGAACGTACAAGACGACAAGTCAACGCCCTTGCTGCGATGCATCAAAGTCAACATTTTGGACACGCCATCGGCAAAATCGACAAGAGCATTTTAATCCCCAGACGTAGACAACCATTTAAATTAACTCCAACAAATAAACTGAAATCTCTCTGTATACATAATATATATATAACTGTAGTGGATCAACCAACTGTGACGACAATGCCATCTCAGGGATCGTTTTCTCGGGGAAAAGTCCAAAATCGCCCCCCTCACTCTAATTTATTATACAAATCTCAAGGTTGTTCAATACATTTTGTTGAATATTTGAGTCAACTCAGATCTCAGGTAAGATTTTTTTAGGATTTACATTACAACTTTTAATTTTTATTATCTTCAATTTCCTTGTCTTTGAATTTTGCTTTTTTTAGTATTAAGAAGGTTATACTGATTGCTATGTAATTCAACCCTCTGTTTGATTGCTGAGAAAACGGAGGAAAAACAAAGAAAACTTGATACATTCTCACTCTGCTGATTATAAATGGTACTCAGCTCAACATAGCCGATTAATTTTGCTTGAGCATATACAACCTTGGAAAATATACCCTGTACAACTTTTTGTGCTCTTTTCCACTCCCTTTTCTCAGTTATCAAAAGAAGCATAGACGAACTTGTAGGTGACAATTATCTGTTGATTCTGTGTATGTATGGGTACACATATATGTATGTATAGTTGTATACTACTATTTGGGGAGAATACATATGTATTAGTTTAAAGGACATTAATCTACTTGCGATGATTTTTTACCCTGGCCATCAGGCCCTGAATTTTTATTTTTATTTATATTTTCAGTTTTTGAATTTGAAGTGCTTGTCAATTCATACTTTACAACTTGATATTATTTCTTTTGCTCATATGATTTCTAAGGCTCGGGGATGATGGAATGGAGAGTTCGTGGATGTGTTTTCGCCATCTCATTTTCTTGCTTTCTTCTCCTTGCAATGGCACAAATTACTGCTCCCTCTGAAGGTGAACATTATTATATTTCCTAGAAATTTGACATCATTTTTGTTGGAGCAAGTTTCTATTGTGCACAAGTGTTTCTTCTACTAATCTTACTGCACTAGACAAATTTTGCTTTCATGTTCTCACTGTTCACAAAACACTAATGCTAAATTTTCTTGCGATTTTTGTTTGTTATTATATTTTATTGGAATTTGGACCTTAGTGTTTTAGGTGGTATTTTCATTTTAGTAATAATATGTTTTATTTAGTCTTTCCCTCTTTAAAATTTTTTGCAGTGGAAGTTGATATAACTCTACGATTTAGAATATTGTTCTTTTGGATGTTATTTTAGGTGCTCATTAGCCTCATTACATATTTTAGGGTATGTGCATATGTTGCCGTTTGATTTGGTTTAGAAAGTACATAAACGCAACAGTTGCCTAAAAATCATAACAAACTTGGATCCATGGGAACCCCCAAATCGAACCAACCTGAATAACCAACCTGATCCGGTTGTAGACCTAAAATTTCCTAAAAAGACAACCCTAGTAACTATGCCTAGTTCAAGATCCGGCCTTCTTCAACCCAAATAATTTTGGTTCTGTTTTTGCAAGCGTGAAGTAAGTAATATTGCCAATGAAGGGCATAGCTAAGGCGAATTTGTTTAGCTCAACATTGACAGAATAAACTTAAATATATGTGGCCAATTGGAGGTAGCACCAATATGGTTAAGTTGAGATGATGTTTGCAATAATAAATGGTCCATCTGCGAGGAGAGATGTTTTGGTGAGGTTGCTACAACTCAAGAAAGCCAATATAGGAACTGTTCAAGTGCACAGTAATCTGGACTCCAGCCTTCAACTTCTGCATTCCACCTCCATTGATTTCCATACAATCAATAATTTAATTTCATCTAATCTAGCATTTTATCACTTATTGTGCTAATATAGGAACTGTATTCTACTCTCTCTCTCTCTCTCTTTAAAAAAAAAATTTATACTGATTGCCAAAGAACTAATGATGCATTTAATTGTTTGTTGTCTGTAATTGTGTGTGTGTGTTTTTGTTATATATGTAATGGGTTATAGAATGGTGAACTATCTTAAGAGTTATGGGGCTTGCCACATGGCTCAATCTGATGCATAACTTGAGTTAGAAAGAATGTACTATTGTGCCAGTTCGTAAACTTCATTGTTAGCAATGTCTTGCATGAGAATAACCAATAATTTGTGTTCATTTGCAGTCAATGCATTGCGAGCTGTGAAGAGAAGTTTACTTGATCCTATGAACCATCTTAAGAATTGGAAAAAAAGGGATCCATGTACATCAAACTGGACAGGAGTTTTATGCTTTGATAAAATTGGGACTGATGCGTACTTGCACATCCGGGAGCTGTATGTTTTTTTTATGCAACTTCTTTTCTCCCACTGATCTCGTCTTGAATAAATTTGATTCATTGTATTTGGCTCATCTAGGACTGTAGGAACTAAGATACAAAAAGATTCAATTACTTTGCTCTTTTGTTGCCAATATGGCGTCACTTCTTTTTGTTATTAACACAACAGAAGATCATCGCATTGCTAAATCTAAGCTATAGTGCCTTGAATTTTAGACAGTTTCTTATATATATATATATATTTGGTTTATGGATAATGCCACGATTGTCTCTCCTATTTTTTGGTGCAGGCAGCTACTGAATATGAATCTATCAGGAAGTTTGGCACCTGAACTTGGCCAACTAACTCAGCTTCTAATACTGTGAGTTGTAACAAAACATTAAATTTATAAAACTCGAAACATTACATTATCACTGCAAACTTTTCTATAATATTCTTTCAGTGATGCTGATGCTTCTCTTTTTTCTTTGGGAAGAGATTTCATGTGGAATAATTTGACTGGAAGCATACCAAAGGAGATAGGAAATATTTCATCTTTGAAACTCCTGTAAGTTAACTCCACATAATCATAGTTCTTGGAAACTATGTCATATTGTCTCCTGCTTCTACTTCAGTACTTTAAGTGCAGTACTATTAACTACCACTTTTTGTTTTGTTTTTTCTCATAAAATGAAAAAAAAAGGGGCAAACCTAGTGCACGAGGCTCCATTGCGGGGTCTGGGGAGGGTCAGGTGTACGCATCCTTGCCTCCACATGTGGAAGGGCTGTTTACTTGTTGCGACCCATGACCTCTAGGTCACAATGGAGCAACCTTACCGTGCACCAAGGCTCACCCTCTTTTTTCTCATAAAAGAGTGACATGTAGAAACCTAACTTCTATTGACCTTGCTCTATAAAGATGACACGTGACTGACTAATGCTATAACCAATTAGTTAAGGCCTAAAACCTAACTTGATCATCTTTGAGGAACTTCTGAGAGTTGACAAATAGGCCTGCATAGTTTTAGGTTTTTTTCTGGCAGAATTTAATTCATCAACCTGAAATTCATCCATAGTCATGGTCCAAATTTAACTCGAATAATGGTTAATTACATAAAAAGGAATACTTCATTTTTTGAAATATCTACACAAGGTGTTTCTTGTTAATTTAACCTTCTTATTCTGTTTACGCAGGCTCTTGAATGGGAACAAATTTTCTGGTTCTTTACCTGATGAGCTTGGTTACCTTTCAAGTTTAAATAGATTCCAAGTAGACCTGAACAAGTTATCGGGGCCAATACCAAAATCATTTTCAAATTTGAACAGTTTGAGACATCTGTAAGTGGATCTTCATGCTATGAGTCACTCTGCATTGATAGGGACTTCAGATTACTTCCTTGTAATTTATCTGCATGTATGTTCCTTCTGCAGCCACATGAACAATAACTCGATTAGTGGACAAATTCCTTCTGAGCTTTCAAATTTATCCAGTCTTCTTCACTTGTGAGTTAACATAGCAGATTCTTCTCTCTGTCACCAAATTGTATAATTATATTGGTAATTGTTTCATTTTGAAATTTGTGGATATGTTATAGTGGGTCTGATATCAATTGCACAAAATTTACAGGCTTTTGGATAATAATAACTTATCTGGGTCTCTTCCGCCAGAGTTATCAAATTTTCCAGACTTGCGTATACTGTAAGTTGCTCCACCATGCATCTTTAGATGGCTTGTGATTAACTTGTTTCCCTTCTCATATGGTTTTAATTGTTGAAATATAGTTGTTCTATCCATTTTGCTTCACAAGGATGGCGGATTATTTTTTATGAATTATTAGCAACAAATATTTTTAAGTTTATGGTATAAAGCATTATGCTTTTAAAATGACAAGTTACACAGGTTTCATGTTTTCATAAGATCTAGGTTTTTACTTCCTATATTATTTTAAATGCCACTTTTCAAAATAAGAGGCTACTGGGAAGAAAGAAAACAAGTAGGCATGTTGTTTTATGGTTCTCTGGGGCTGCCTCATCTCTCCTTTTTGGTTTTCACTCTATCAAGACAGTATGGGTTCCTTAAACCTGAGATACCGGGGCCTTTTTACCAAATGTAGTTTGAGGTCTATGAGCGGCGCAGACAGAAAAGCTCTATCAATAAGAAGAAACGCACTAGCTGACTACGAGTCTCGCCTCGATTTCTCTCCTTAAAGGGCCACTTCCACCTCAAGCAATAAAGATTAACAGATATATTAATACCTTATGCGCGAACCCATTAAATGGCCCCAGTTGGGGGAACGGCATATTCATAAACGTCTACGGAAGATTAACAAGCTAAAAAGGAGGTCCTCCTTTTTAGTGTTTCAGAACTCCGTAGTTTGAGCTGTTGGATGGTGATGTTTACGGTAAAGGTCTAAAATCCCCCTAGGGCCGAAGAGGCTACTGATGATGCTTACTGAATTGGACATCTAACTTAGTTGTGATGATTTAAAATTTCTGCACAATTCAAGATTTTCAATGTTGTGCAGAAGTTGTGATTGCCTCATCGATAAAATTGAATTGCATGCTACATCTAAGCTCAACATGCAAGTCAACAAAGCCTTTTTCCCAACTATTTAGGGGCAACTTGAGAAATCAAAATTTTAAATCCTTTATTAATCAACTCAACTGTGACAATTTTCACAGTTCTAATAGCCCCTAATGGTGCAGAGCAGTCATTACGGTGCCTTAATAGACCGTAACAGTTATGCAACAGCATTTACAGAGCCGTAACAGCCGTTACAGGGTGTGGTATGAAAATTCCAATTTGTTTTCATTCTTTCACTTTTCTTACCCTAACAAGTAACAACTCAGACACACTCACTCAACCTGTTCATACTCACAAGATCTGGCCTCCAAAGCTTAAAAATGAAATTGAAATTTGAGTTTCTAGTTTGAATTGAGAGCTTTCCTATCATCTTTATTCCTTTTCCTCTCGAAATACAAAGATCCATGATTCAACAACACAGCTGTTGATTGGTATTACTTATAAGTAATATGATATTTTATAACTCATTGATGTGATGGGGTCCCATTTGGTAGCTATTGAACTTGGTTGAATACTTTGTGAAAGGGTTGGTAGATTGGCTTCCTCTTTTCATAGTCGTACCTTTCACACTAAATGTAACGTCTTTGATAAAATATATATATATAAATATATATATATATATATTTGTAATTTTTAAGATTTTTTATTTAAATCTAACACACAATTAATGTTGAAATTAATACCAAAGGCCATTGTGAGTCTTTCTTGGAGCTTCCAATATATGGTTTTACCAATTTAAAAAAAATAGTTTGAATAATGTTTTTATTTTTACTTTCCATCATATAATTATCTTTATATTGATGCAGTAAATTTAGGTACACTATAGAATGTTAGCCATTCAGGCTCCTCTTGGATCAAAGGATTTGATATGAATGGATTTATGTTCATTCATTTGAACGATATAGCATACACCTAGAGTGAGTAATTTAACTTCAAGTTTTAATATTATAGGTATATAGATTTGAGAGCTTTATATGTATATATTCCAAATTACAATGTGGAAGGAGTTATTTTGAAATTCATGTCTTCAAGGATTTGACTACAGAAGGATTGCAGTTCTCTTGAGTTTCAGGGTTCATGTTGAATAAACAATATTTTATTTGAATCCATTCATTTACCCAAATGGAGCGAGTCTATCGACTATTAGTAATAAACCATTTACTAAGTTATTAAATGCGATTTTGTAATTTTAAATTAGTATATGACATTGAGAAATTAAAAATGTTGTTTGAATGTAATTTATTTAACTCATTGCCCAGTAGAGCTTGAAATGGAGTGGATTCATGTGAATCCAGATCTGGATCCATCTTTAATATTAGGGTCCATATTCGAATTGAATCAAATCCTATGGGCAAGGTTCATATCTGAACTAAGAGTGGGGTGAGCATGAGTACCCACAACAATGGGTGATCCGAGATCCTAGCTGTGGGGATACCCCCAAGATGATGAGGACACCTGGCACATGCATGTGTGGTCACATAAATATTCCTTGCAATTGTACGTGTCAGGGTGTATAAATTCTGTTCCATGGTGACGTGAGAGGCCAGTTCTTCTTTGGCCTTGAGATCCTGCTCCAGTCCTTTCGTGAGCTTATTGTTCCCAAGTTCTCTCCTAATCTCATCTCTCTCAATCCTCCTTTGTTCGCTTCACTCTTAAATGAAAAAGAGGAGAAATGAACCCCAACTACTGCACCTTTGAATCAAAACAGAGTAGTGGTTTTCAATTTTGAAAAGTTAGTTTTCACAAGGTATGTGTTACAATGAGTGAAGTTGTGACAAAAATTAGTAAGTATGATTTAATGAGTGACCACAATGCAACAGAATCCAATGCGTGGGGGTGGGAATGAGTCCTCTGGTCAGTTTCTTTTTAGGTTGTCGTTGCACATTCTTGATGGTAATTTTTCATATAGTTGTCAGGCTTATATGGCTTTAAATGGAGATTTTTTGGCTTAGTTAAATTTTCACTTGAAATGTCCCCATCCCTGGGTTGTCGGCCTCAGTGTGTCGCATGTTGCTATTGTGTTATATGAACATTAATACCACGTACCTATGTTTGACTTAATCAATTCTCAGAGTTATTTCCTAGTGGCCTGTTTCATATTCCAATTTGGGGCAAGTGGTTTCATGGAGGTCTTTTTCATGTCCATACACTGCTCCTATCCTCTGGCCAGCATTATTTCCAGAGTTATAACTTTACAATTAGTTTGTGTTAACACTTTTCTCTTTTCTTCTTGCAGTCAACTAGATAACAACAATTTCAGTGAGGCGGAGATTCCATCTTCTTATGGAAAGCTGTCCAGATTAGTAAAATTGTAAGTGCTATTTAAAGGGTCTCTGTTTTTTTTTTTTTTTTTATAATTCTTTTTACATTCTTATCAATGAAGAAATATGCATTAATATCAGGCACAGGTATCTTAAGTCATTTTGAAAATTAGCAAGTTAAAAGCTTGGTTGTACTTTTGATAATTTGATAAATTAGTTCGGATAATATAAATTTTTTATTTATTTTGTGCATTGTGACTTGCATTTGGGGCTTATGGTAACTTGGGTCCATCATGGAGCAGACATCAGTTCAGATCCCATGAACCAGCTTGAAACATTAGAAAAAGATGTTCACATTGCAGGAGCATCATATTTGGATTTATACAATTTGATACCTGATCTTGTAAGGTCTTTGAGGATCTATATGCATTGGTGATTAAAAATTTTCCTAGTGCCCAATCCATCTTTTGTCATGCATACATGCTCTCTCAACTCTCATGTATTAGATTTATGATCTGAGAAGAATTTGCGGTCAACCTGCTGATGGACATCATTAGACCGCAGTTTAAATTCTCCAATATTTCAGGGCAGATCATATTCCAACGCTTAATGCTACCAAGTAATCGACCAGGTTTAATAGGGTGGCATGATGGAGTAGTATTTTAAGTGAAATAAAATTTGTTCATAATGTTGATAGTAGAATCGATACCTGTGACGTCCCACATCTCCTAGGGGGAGAGGAAAACCATGAGCACCAGAGGAGAGAATGCAAAACGGAAAATATTTGCACGGTGTGGGCGGGTCATAACAAAACATACTAGTATAGGGTTAAAGTCTGCTGGGCAACCAGTGAAATAAGCTTCTTTACTAATACTGTGAGTTGCTTCTCTTTTGCTGCTCTACTTGCATGTTAATGTGTACAAACTCTGGAGGAACTCGTAACCATATGATACTTTTGAATTCAGTTGTTTTTTCTTTTGCTTTTTTATTGTTTTGGGATCCAGGCCCCTTGATAAGGGGAACGGGTCGTTCTTTATCTATTTCTAAACCGAAAACAATTTATTTGTCTGGCAAAAGAGAAAGGTTAAAGTGACAAAATTGTCCTTCAGTAATAACGTGACTCACTTAAAAACTATTGACTTTTAAAATAACGTGCTTAGACAAAAACCACCAGTCAGAACTTAAGAAGCTACCTGTAAACCAAAATTTTAAGCAGCACACAAAATCCAAATTAAAGACTCAATCAACAAGGCAAAACGCACCCACAAGCTGACTAATGGGTTTGTGTGGGGGGGTGGGGATCCCACTGAAGGTGCTTGACTTGGATTTCTTAGGATGTTCAGGTGACTGTAGAGAAAGAAAAAAAGACATCTTCGGCATACTCTATATCAAATTGGAAAGGGAAAATGAAACAAGAACACGAAGATTCATGAAACTTCATACCTTAAATAATTGTATGAAACTAAGATTGATTCTTGTTTCATGGTTTGGGTGTTTCCAAAATGAAATGGCTTAGGCAAAATGTAACCATTCTTATTCACCGAAAAAAAAAAAAAAACACTTAACCATTCTTACCCAGGTGGCATAAGCTTGTTCTTAGCTATATTTATGTTTCTCCTTATCTCTGCTATTGTTGACAGTTACATGGAAGGGGTATGAGTCGGTTTGCTAAACTTTTAAATCATTTGGAAATCACTACAGAAACACGAAACAAAGTTGCAGCATTTTTAGGGTTTAAAATGGAAAACTACAAAAGGATAAAATAGAAGTTTGTCCATCTGGATTAGTATACTTTACTTTGATGTCTATTCAAAGTGTAATTATGCAAAATAGAGAAGATGTAAAGTGTAAACTCTGTGTTTTACTATAGTCTATCCAAAAAAGGAGTGCTTATGCTATTTCTTTCTCTTTTTGATTTGGCAGAAGTCTTAGAAATTGCAGCTTGCACGGAGCTGTACCTGATCTCAGCAGTATAGCAAATCTTAGCTATATGTAGGTTTGAGCATTGTTCGGCATCCATTTGAGTTTTCTAATATTATTTTCCGAAGGCAGCATATACTCTTGTCAGTTCAGTGCATTAATTCCATTATCTTCTTTGGATGATACTGCATCTAACTGGTTATGGATTATTGATACAGAGATCTCAGCCAGAATCAACTCACTGGATCCATACCATCAAATAAGCTTTCCAATAATATGACAACTATGTATGTTAATGGGCTCATAGATTTTCCAGTTGTTGACTGTATAAATAGATACTCATTTGTAGCTATTTCTAGGCATTACTATTTCTCTTCTTGTTGCTTCAATTTTTTGAAAATAAAATATCAAATGCTATATGTAACATTTTACTTTCTTGACTTATGCAGAGATCTGTCAAATAACCATCTTAATGGATCTATTCCCGAAAGTTTCTCAGATCTTCCTTCTCTCCAGAAACTGTGAGAATCTTCATGCTTCTTTGCAGAATTCTTTTCCTATTATGCAGTTAAAATTACATGGTAACAAGTTATGGAATAGTTTAAATTTAACGCTCTTGAACATTGTATGTGCTTTTGAACTGCATAGATAGTGATAGCAGTTTCAGTAATTTGGAATACCATTCTGGTTCGTATTTGATAAGATGCTGTAAATGACTGTTTATTACAGATCACTTCAGAATAATCTTTTGATTGGTTCTGTCCCCACAAACATCTGGCAGAACATGTCCTTCAGTGGAACCGCTAGACTTTTACTGTAAGACCTCAAAGAAGAAAACAATTGTTATTCTCTGAAATAAAATAGTTTTACTTTTCATGGAGAATATATTTGGCTTTATGTGAAATGGCTGTCTTGCTAATTTACCTTTCATGCACTTCGTGAATGCAGTGATCTTCGGAATAATTCATTTTCAAACATTTTAGGAGATCTTAATCCTCCAGCAAATGTCACCTTAAGGTGTGCTTCCTTCTTCTTCCCCTTTCTATTTATTTACAATAATACTTCCTATTTGGTGCAATATTATGATTTAGGTTTTACTGAACATCACATGTTGTGCCATCTAAAATTTGAGTGAACCACATTATATGTTCTAGAATATTAGAAATTTATGTGTACTTATAAATAAAAATAAAAATAAAGCAATTTATGTGCACTTTGTTCTACTGCAAGTATATTCTAAAATTTATGTGCAACTTGGTCTATTGCAAGTATGCCACCATTACCAATATATATATATATATATGCAACCATTCCACAATGAGCTCAGGTTGCATGACTCCCAGATTTGATAAAGATGGCAAATGTGCCCTTGACTATCCAGTTTCCAAGTGAAAGAATTTTCCCCAAGTTATGTAAGGTTTCATGAGTCACTTTTTTGTTTCTATTTTCTAGCACTTATCATTTTATTTGGAAAGAATCTTGTCATATATACCACAATCTAACGATATCCCATTATGATAGCTTCCTAGTAAAGATAGGCTTCAATATATTGTAGACTTTCTAATTCAAAAGAATATATATATTTGTTTCACAATTCAAGACGATAATTACTGGGGCATCTGTGTTATATTTATGTATGTATATATATTTGAATCATTTGATGCAATCTTATGTATATATACTATCAGTTTTACATCAACTCTCACAATATTCTTTCTTTTTTTCTTTTCTTTTTTTCTTTTTTTTCTTTTTTTTGTGTGTGTGTTTTTTAGGCTTTATATTTTGTTTATCCTTTGTTTCAGAAAACAGTAAATATCAAGTGCACGTAATTTTTTTTTTTTTTTTTTGTGGTTGTGGTGATAGAGCAGCTAATTTGCTGTAGCATTCAAATTACAAGTGGAGATTGAACTCTTCTTTATTACCCATTCAGGTGTACTCAACTAAGAATTTTTTTGTCTTATTGTAGTTAAAATTGTCGATTGTCGATTTCATTGTTTAAATGTATCACTGTGCTTATGAATCTTTAGGTTTTGAGATCAGATATTCATATGATTTTTTATCACTTATTTCACTTTCTTGTTATTTTTTTATATGGTTCTAATGAAATTAATTAGCAGATAGTAATACTTTTTTCACTTACAGTACCTTTACCATGTTTTGTTTTGCTTTCATCATTCTCATCAATTTAGCAGCTATATCCTTCAGGCTACAAGGCAATCCTATCTGCAGCAATGCAAACTCAAAAATCACACGCAAATTCTGTGGATCTGATGCTGGAGGGGGTGACATTCTTGAAAAGTCAACTGATTCAAACCTGACTTGTCCTATTCAAGCATGTCCTGTTGATAATTATTTTGAATATGTTCCATCATCCCCTGTGCCATGCTTTTGTGCATCACCCCTTAGAATTGGATATAGGCTGAAGAGTCCGAGTTTCTCTTATTTTCCTCCATATGCTGACTTATTTGAGATGTATGTGACATGTTCGCTTAACTTGGACCGTTATCAACTATCTATTGAATCATATGCCTGGGAGGAACGACGTCTGAGGATGTATTTGAAGCTTTTTCCTATGGTCAGTAATGATCACTCAAGTAGATTGTTCAACAAAAGTGAGATTCTGCGTATTAGAGGCATATACACATCTTGGCAATTTCCTCCTTCTGACTTTTTTGGACCTTATGAGCTTCTCAACTTCACTCTCCTGGGACCTTACTCGTATGGTAAGTATTCAATTCTTCATCTTCTTCTATCTCAAATTAAAGTTTCAAGTGTTAAGAGATTGATATACATTGTTGGGCCCATTCCTTTCCGCGTGCTAGCGGGGTCGGAATGAGGGAGGGTGTTAAAGTTTTAATAACAAGAATATTCATTCTGAATTACAATTTTTCCGCTTCAATTGTCAGAATGATTTGGCAGAAAATATGGCCGTAGACTGAGCTGCCAACTAACATGTTTGTTGATTTGCTTGACATACTCCCCCTGTCCCAAAAAAATGTCTCTTTTGGGGACAGAGGGAGTACATGATAATGAATATACCAGTTATAATTAGATAGCAACAAACTGGACTTTTGGCAAACATTTTATGTACAGTTCAGTTGAAATTTTGGAAGTCCTGCACCTCTTGAGAACAGACCAAAACAATTGTTAAATCCAGGAAAAGTACTAATCTAATGATGTTTAGATAGTGCTGGATTTTCAGGCACATTTAGAGAAGGAATAATGTATCTAACTACTTGAATTAGCTTGGTATAACTGATTACAATATTAATCTAATAAATACAAAAAGAAGAAGTGAAGTTAGGAAGCTAAGTGGGAAAGGCTAAGAATGTGTAATAAGTACCACAAGCGCGCACACAAATATGACAAATGAGAGTCAATTTCCCAAAGTGCTCCTACATGGTAAACTAAGCTTCCTTGGGAGGATGGTTCATGTATATCACACACACATCCAACTTGACGATACACTATGATAGAAACCATTGTGTGTTTCTTTGGTGAGAACATCTGCAAGCTGATCTCCTTCCCTGGTGAAATGGGTATAATCATTATATCTTGAGCTTTCTCTTTACTGAAGTGATGATCCACCTTAATATGTTCAATTATTCATGCCTGACTAGTTTATATGCAAAACTTATGCGCTTAGATCGTGGTAAAATTATTATAGGCAATTGATAAAGTGAATCATTATGAAGTAAGAAGAATATTTATCCAAAAGCGTGGAGTGCTTCACTTGTTAATCACTAGTTTTCAAAAGCATTAAAAAGAAAAATGGAACTAAATTCATCACCAAATTTAAGCAGACAAATGAAAGAAGAAAACTCACATTTAAAAATTAAATGTGAAATCTATAAACCTATAAAATGATTGTCAGTAAGTCAGAAGTTAAATGCTTGGCAAACTCTACAAACCAGTGGTCCAAAATCACTTGCTGAAGTGACATGGTATTTCTTTGCTCTCACACTATCACTCTGCAAAATGTGGCATGCCTAGTTGCAGACTTAAAAAGTGCTTGGCAACCCAAATATAGCAACTGGCATGTCCCAATGCAAATGAAATGAGACGTGGTTGTGTTGGTGAGGTGATGCCCTGACTTTCTAAATGACATGTAGTTTCTAAAATAAGTTCATAAGTGAGCCCCGCACAGGCGGCTCGGCTGGTAATGTCTTTGGGGGTACCCCTTAAGCTTCTGGTTCAAGTCCTACTAAAGGTAAGGCCTGAGTTTAAATGATGCACGTGGTTTGCAAACCATCCGAGAGCCCAAAGTGACTGGGGGTTGATTCTGTGTTACCAATAATAATAATAAATAACTAAAAATAAGTTCATAAATGATAATTCATTCATTCATTTGTAGGCATGGGAATTTGGGTCTTTTTAGGGAATATTGTCTTCCATTAATCCCACAATATATATCTAGAATGTTAAAGTGATAGTAATTGAACTTACTTTCATAGTCAGTTTAATCTTGGTTTTATAACCTCATATGATTTTTATTGCTACAGTGAATCTTGAGACTCAAGGAAAAAGTATAAGCAAGGGCACTTTAATAGCTGTTATATTAGCGGCCATCGCCTGTGCTGCTATTATCTCTGCAGTAGCCACACTTTTGATTGCAAGAAGACTTGCTAGATACCAGCATACACTGTCAAGGAAACGTTTATGTAAGTACTTAAAGAACATTTTTATGAAATTTAGTTTTTTCTGTCAAATATATCATGTCTGACTTTCTGAGGAAAATAGTATGAAGTCCTTGTTACTCTTTGCAGCCTCAAAGCTTCCTATAAAAATTGATGGAGTGAAAAGCTTCACTTTCAAAGAAATGGCATTGGCAACTCAAGATTTTAACAGCTCTAGTTTAGTTGGCCAAGGAGGTTATGGGAAGGTTTATAAAGGAATTTTATCCGACAGTAGTGTTGTGGCCATAAAGCGTGCAAGAGAAGGATCCTTACAGGGTGAAAAGGAATTCTTGACAGAGATAGAAATGTTGTCAAGGTTGCATCACAAAAATCTGGTTTCATTGGTTGGATACTGCGATGAAGAAGGAGAGCAGGTATGTCAGGTTGGGTGGTGCCCTGAAATGAAGTTTTTCTATTTCAATCATTTCAATCATGGTATGCTTAAAGTTGGGCAAAACTTACTACTTTCTTATGCATGCTTTGAAGAATGAAGTTCACATAAATGTTCACTGCCCTAGACAATAAATGGGTGTGATGTAGTGAGTGTTTAGATGTAAGAGGATCAATTCCATTGTAAAAAATTTCAGTCTGAGAGTGTCCTTGGCACATATGCAGATGCTGGTTTATGAGTTCATGCGTAATGGCACCTTGCAAGACTGGCTTTCTGGTATGGATTTTTCGAGATTTATCATTCTTACTACTACTGTTCCATGGCGCAGTTCTGTTTTCATTTTATTTATTTTTATTTGTTACTATTTTTGGGGTTGCGGGGTGAGGGGGCTGAAACTTCACCTTACTGTTTCTAAAAGATTATTTATTTATTTAGATGAAAAGTAAATTATTGATGTATTTTGTCGTTAGGTACTGCCATGCAGCTTGGTGTATTTTATTTGATTTAAAAGTTCAATTGGAATAAAATAATTCTTCTTTTACTTTTTCTGACCATAAACTAAATTTTCAGTATCTTTTTACTGAAGAAATACCACTACTATGCTTTGTGGGTGCCCTCCAACAATTTCTAAAATACACTATCTACTAATAAAACATCTTGGTGTGTGTGAGTTTCGTGGTGTTAATTCTCTATTGAACACTCTTTCCTAATGTCAATTTTCTATTCAACACTCTTTCCTAAGTTCTAAGTATATGGATTCTCGGATTTGACAGCTAAATCGAAGGAAAGTCTAAACTTTGGTCTGAGGTTACATATTGCATTGGGTTCAGCCAAAGGTATTCTTTACCTCCACACTGAGGCTCACCCTCCTGTATTCCACCGCGATATCAAAGCCAGCAACATACTTCTGGACCCCCAACTTACTGCCAAAGTTGCGGATTTTGGACTCTCACGGCTTGCACCAGTGCTGGATGATGAAGGGACTTTGCCTAATCATATATCCACAATTGTGAAGGGAACACCTGTAAGTCTTAGCTCTCTTAAACATACACTATGGAAACTATGGAAAAATAAATTGTAAGAAAGTACCTATATTTGAGCCAATCTTGTATGGCAAATGGAGGAAGTCAGTAATATACTGGTAGAAATTCAACAGCAAAGCTTATTAATGCCCGATTGCACATGCAGGGTTACGTTGATCCTGAATACTTCTTGACCCAAAAGTTGACAGATAAAAGTGATGTTTATAGCCTTGGGGTTGTATTTTTGGAGATTTTGACGGGTATGCAACCAATATCGCGTGGAAAAAATATTGTCCGTGAGGTATGTATATCCACGAGAAGTAATCAATTTGAGATCAATTTAATGTGCCAAGACAGTAATGTTATTTCTTCACCTGCTGCTTTTAGAACCTTAGCCCCCATATCTACAAGTATTTTGTTGTTGAATGTTGGAAAAACGAAAATGAGTATTAAGGATTTGAAAATCTTTGATTTTAGGTGAATTTAACTCGTCAGTCGGGCACAATGTTCTCACTTATAGATAGCAGAATGGGTTCTTACCCTTCTGAATGCGTCGAAAGGTTCATAGACTTAGCCCTCAGGTGCTGCCAGGACAAGCCAGAAGTACGGCCATCAATGTTGGATGTGGTCAGGGATCTAGAAAACATACTCAAAATGATGCCGGAAATCGAATCTGGATCGTCAGAATCTACATCCAAATTTTTTGATGAATCAGCATCATCATCTTCGTTGGCCTACTCAAGCAGGGACTCATATATTTCGTCATATGTTTCAGGAAGTCATCTTGTCAGTGGCGTTGTTCCCACCATCAGACCGCGCTGATACTCCGATAAATCTTATACTCCTGGAAAGACAAAAGAAAAAAAAAAAAATACACAGAAAACAGTTTCTATGTAAATATTTGGGAATGTAAGATGCCTTTTGTTCTTGAATTTTTGTTTGTAAATTGTGTAGGCAAGAGAAATTTGGTTTATGCCAGTTATTGATTGTGTAAATGAACGATAAAGTTTAGCTTTCGTATGGAATAGAGGCAAGAATGATGTTGAAGATGACATTGCAATAAAATTCTATTAGAGCATGCCTAAAAATGATTCGGGTAAACTTATTTTCAAAAAATCATCAAAAGCAAAAATAATAGGCATTACCGAACAAGTTGGACGAGATTAATGCTGAATCATGAAAATAAAATATTTTAAATTGGTGTATGTTAGTTATTGATTGGGTAACTTTGGAATAAAGGCAAGAATGATGTTGAAGATGACATTGCAATAAAATTCTATTAGAGCATGCCTAAAAATGATTCGTATTAGTAAACTTATTTTCTAAAAATCATCAAAAGCAAAAATAATAGACATTACTTTGTTCGAGATTAATGCTGAATCATTAAAATGAAATATTTCAAACAGTATGCACTCATTATACTAAAAGAACATAATCGTTAGAAAAAAAAAAATTTAAAAAAAAAAATAATAAATAAATAAATAATCATTAAAACAAAATTCAACCACCACACGACCTCAAAATTTCAATCACAAGACAAAAAAAAAAATTTAAAGACTCGTCATGACATGGCAAGTCGTGTCAAAATCTAATTGAGGAAAGCATAAATGTATAATGATGTCAACTGAGGCAACAAAATATGTCTGTAAATGGCCACATTGTCGAGAAAGACAAATATATCATACATCATATATAGTTATATACATATATAATGGTTCCCTCTCGGCTGGACAACAAGCACTCCAAAGAGTTCAGCCTTGGTTATTTGTTAAAACATAGAAATCATGATAAAACTACCCAAAAAAAAAAAAGAGGAAGAAGCATGTTCGAGGACTTCAGAATTTTTCTTATCAAAACCCAAATCACAAAACACCAACATTAACACTCATAGATAACAGGTAAATTTTAGTGCCTCCCAAGGAAAAGGACTGACCTATTATCATAAAAGAGAATGGGATAGGCTAACTACAACATGGAATGACATGTAAGAAAGTTGAAAATAGACAATAAATCAGCAACCAAACCCCGAATCAAAGGAAATTTCAAAGTAGTAGTCTGCGGTCGATATCTAAAAAGATAAATACCACAAATTCAAATCAAAATCACTAATTACGGAAATACTAACAAGAAAGTTCAGAACCTACTACATAAAGCCCCACTTTTGGAACGAGGTCCCTGCAAAACAAGAAGCCATGCAGACATAACTGGTTGAAAATCACTGCAGTCAAGTCCATATTCACCCATTGTACTCCACGTTTGCAATATATTTGTCCATAAGTTATAGGGACCTCAAGCAAAATAAGTGAAGATCCTAGAGCATTCTTATGATGAGACAATAGAATCGTGATTAGAGTAGTGTTCGGACACATTTTAAGCCCAGGAAATTTCAGCAATAAGCCTCTAATTAAATCTATTATGTTGGCAAGCAAAAGGAAAAATGCAATTCAAAAAATAAAGCAAACAATACTGAAAATGAACAAGATTCTCTCTACAAAACCATGAGGATGAGAATAAAAGGTTTAACTGCTAATGCCAAACAACATAACCTGCCCTTCAATATGTCCATTTCTATAGGGTCAAAATCAACTTAAGCATTAAGATATTAAATGCAAACAAGCACAGCAAAAGGCAAACACAAGTAGAAGCCTCATCAAAAGATGGCAGAAACAAGATAGAAAGTACTCCTCTGTGTTGCCCAAAATCTATAGACACAAAAAAGTAATTTACCACACATACAAACTAACAAAAACAAATGATCAAATGCCACCCAAAGACGAGAACACTTTAAAGGATTTTTGACGGAACTAAAGAAGATAATACACAGTTCATATAAGGCGCATCAAGTGTTCAAGAAATTTTGTTCAGCAACAAGTGATCTAGAAATAGACATATAGTCAACTCAATTATAACCACAAAGAACATGTGCATAAACAATGCTACATCAAATACAGGGTAAAGTTCACCAAACATTCATTTCAAATCGCCAAGGTTGAAAAGGAAGAAGTCAAACCTCTTCAGCAAAAGAACCGATGAAGAAACTTAGACAAGAAGAACACGATTACCAAGGAAGATAGTGCTCTTCGTATTCCATGATTATTCCGTGATCAAAATAGAAAAATGTAACTACCACCCCCAGGGCCCCACCAATGACGAAGGATCATCTTAAAATAGAGTATCAATACGTCTCTATCCAAAAGATTATGTCTCCAGCAACAAATATAATAAGACAATCATTATAAAGTCACACACAAAAAAAAGAGGACAGAATGAAAGCACCAAGAGAGCACAACCTTTGCAAGAAACACTTCAAAGCACAACCTTTGCAAGAAACACTTCAAAGCACAACCATTCATGAGTTTTGCATGGAACCCGTAAGAGTAGAAAATTCATAAATTTTGTATCTTAGAAATGTTATAAATTATCGATAAGAGCTTTAATTACTTCCAAGAAATCAAAAGAGAAGAAGGAAAAAGAAAGCATTCATGGTTCACCTCCAGCTGGACAATGGGCACTCTAAAGAGTTCAGACTTTGTAATTCGTTAAACTACCAAAAGTATCTTCAACGTTGCGCCTACAAGGAAATAGACATGGAAAGAGAGAAGAATAATAATGATATTTTCAGCCCCTCTGCAGCGACAGTCTACAACATGAATGATGTGTCAGAGGAAAGCTCTGAAATTAGAACAGCAACTGTATATTTATTTTTGTTCAGGTTTATATAATTTAACAGAAACAAGAACACTACAACACCTTCAAAGAAAGTAACACCAACTAACAAATATAGCGGCGATGGGATTTGAACCCGTGATCTCAAGGCGATGACCTTGGAAACTACCACGAGCTGAAGAGAAGAACTGAGACCCAATTGAGATCCAACAACTAGATATGCAAAAATCCTCAATTGAGGGTACCAACACTAACACTCATAGATAATATACAAGATAATATACACTACAATTAGTAGCCTTTTCGTCAAAAAAAAATTCTTATTAAACCCAAATTGCAAAACACCAACATTAACACTCATAGATAACAGAAAAAGTTTAGTGCCTCTCAAGGACGTATTACCATAAAAGACAATGGGATAGGAATCTGCAACATGAAATGACATACTAGAAAGTTGAAAACACACAAGAAATCAGCTACCAAACCCCGAATCAAAGGAAATTCCGAAATAGTACCGTGGGTACTATATTTTACAAGATAAATACCATAAATTCAAATCACTAATTACATAAATACAGTGATCTAACAAGAAAGTTCACAGCAAGACCTACTCCATCAAGACCTACAATTGAAATGAGATCCCTGCAAAACAAGAAGCCACGTAGACATCAAGATACAGAAACAACATTTACTATAACTGGACGATAACTGCAGTCAACTCCATATGCACACATAGAAATAATTTATTATTGTTCATAGACCATCCATGCAGGAGCGTAAGCTCAACCCATAAGCCCATCAGCATGTAATATAGACTGCAGACAATCTCAAAAGTTAAAGCAGATAGCAAACTCCATAAAGGAGAAACCTCGTTCAAGTAAACAATGGAAACAACAGACTTGGAAAGAAGGAAGAAAAAAAAAAGAAAGAACAAAGAATGGAAGCAACTCCACAAAGAAAAAAGAACCAGAAAAAAGGATCAGAAGCTTCTCACAATATTTTATCCTCTAAGAAAACCACCATGCCTCTTCACGTCACCACCAAACTCCCCAGCACGCACAGACATGTTCCCAGATATTGCACAAGCATGTTAGGAAGAAAATTGTGAATAATCAAACTGTTATACCTCTTGTAACCATTCTACTTGGAACCGACTATGTAAAGATATGGCACTAAGCACTACACATGCAGAGTTATGGTAAGAAAGAGAACCTTAAGTGAAGTCTGAAAAAAGAAAGAAAGAAAGAAAAATGAAAATAAAAAAAAAAAATAAAATAAAAAATAAAAAAAAGGAAAACAAGAATGGCAGCAACTCCACGATGAAAAAAGAAAAATAAAAAAGGATCAGAAGCTTCTCACAAGATTCTATCCTCCTAGAAAACAACCATGCCTCTTCACATCACCACTAACTCCCCAACATGCACAGACATGTTCCCAGATATTGCACGAGCATGTTAGGAAGAAAATTGTGAATAATCAAGCTGTTGTACCTTGCGTAACCATTATACTTTGGAACCAACAATGTAAAGCTATGGCACTAAGCATTACACATGCAGAGTTATGTTAAGAAAGAGTACCGTAAGTGAAGTCTGAAAAAACAAAAACAAAAAAAACGAAAAAAAAAAAAGGGAAGAAGAAGAAGAAGAAAGAGAGAGCACAAACAGAGCCTTTGTAAGAAACCCAACAAAGCAGAACCATTCATAAACAATGGACTCCCATCAATGCCATCCTCTCCAAAATATTTTCTAGAGATCAGATAGCACGTCTACCAAGGACAAGCTGCTGCAAGAAGATTTACTCTTGCATCACGTCATCCATATCTTCATATAATCTAAAAAGTTAAAGCAGACAACAAACTCCATAAAGGAGAAATCTGGTGCAAATAAACAATGGAAACGACATGGGAAGAAGGAAAAAAAAAAAAGAAAAAAGAAAAAGAAAAACAAGAATGGCAGCAACTCCACGAAGTAAAAAGAAACAGAAAGAGGGATCAGAAGCTTCTCACACGATTTTGTCCTCTAAGAAAACAACGATTCCTCTTTACATCACCACAAACTCCCCAACACGCAATGACATGTTCCCAGATATTGCACGAGCATGTTAGGTTGACAATTGTTAATAATCCAGCTATTTTGTACCTGGCATAACCATTCTACTTGGACCGACTATGTAAAGACATGGCACTAAGCACTACACAAGCAGAGTTATGTCAAGAAAGAGAACTGTAAGTGTAGTCTGAAAGAAAAGAAAGATATTACGAAAGAAAGAAAATAGAGAAAGAAAAAAAGAAAGAAAGAGAAAGCACAAATATAGCCTTTGCAAGAAACCGAACAAAGCAGAATCATTCACAAGGTTGAAAAGGAAGAAGTCAAAACCTCTTTAAACAAAAAAACTGATGA